ACTCTTATCTTTCTTCTCTGGAAGATCTGCATAATATTTTCACTTCGTGAGAAATTTAGACTTGCTCAGGTTTCGCTGTCTTACGGTTGGAACGCGGTCTGGACAATGTACAAATATCGGTAGCTTTTTTCAAAACAATGAAACTATAGCGGCGCTTGTCCACCACTAGCTGGACCGCACAAAATCCACTGATCAATACAACGTACCGCACCAAACTTCTTTGGGAACGCCTTCTTCTTTATTATTGTATAATACCGTGAAACTAAAAATTGATTTAAGAAATTAGGGACACGCAAATAGATTAAGAAATGCTTCAGATAAATCAAACTTACATTATTGCCGGATCTGGCGAGAGTTGATATCGATTGAACCTTTCCTTCCTTTCCTTTACTAAATTATTTTCTTACGAGCACGAGTGCTTACCAAAAACTGATCAAAGGGCCTTTTATCAAATATATTGAATTACACCTAAGAGCGCGTGACGAGCCACCTAGTGTGACTTTAAAGATTTAACCAAAAGATTTAACCAAAGATTTAACCAAATCAAACAATGAACAGAAACTCGTGCTACAGGGGCACTTACAGAAACTAGGAAATTTCCGTGCTCTTTTTAACCAAACATTGGCCGCTATGAACTCGTGATTGTGATGTGATTCGTTTGAAGGGATTATTTTCAATCTAAAAAAAGTCTCAGGTCAGAGTGGGGCCTTGTCAGACGTGTGTCAGGCATCATTTCGCACGCTAGGTTTCCTGTTATGGCCCAATTATGGCTATGGGCTCACGCGGATTTCGGAATTGCGCGCGCGCGTACAGAACTTCATCAAAAGAAATCCAGCTGGGATATTTTTTAAACATTACGTTGTACACATGTTTTCGTTTTGATATGGTTGCGCAAGCATGTCTCGAAGGCGTTGAAGATGAAGGTGTTCTTTACCGAAGTCAGAGGGAGTATCTTCACTTAAACCCTTCCTCTCCTCCTCCCCTGTCTTTTTCTTTGCCTCTCCTCCTCCTCTGTCTCTTTCCTAGTCTCTACCCCTCTCTCTTCTCCTCACTTCCTTAACACTGTCTCCGGAGCGAAACAGAGACTAACAAAGGCGGTATTTCTGTCACATGGCGCATAAACTTATGTTGAAAAAACAAGTAAGTTTCATAGTAAAAGGGAATTTCCGTGAACAGTTGTCCCTTTGTCAACGTGTGTTGGAAATAACGGTTTAAATTTTAGCTTGAATACATCTCAATTAGGTAAGTTTTGGAAGACTCAACAAATAAAGGATGTTTACGTCAGTGCATCCGCCCCCTGCTTACAAACAAATCCAGACAAAACTCCATTCATTTTGAGGTTACAAAAAAAAACCAGAGTCAACCGCTTTTAACCGAAGTATTCTCCGATTGGTAGAATTTCAAGGACCTGACCCCGTTTGGATCGTTTTGTTTGGATCATAAAAACAAAATCAAGGGAAGTGACTTCCTTTGATTTTGTTTTTATGATCCAAACACCTAGGTAACAAGCATGAAATTCGGCCGGACAGAAAAGATGAGCGCGTGTGGTGAGAACCATCTAGCTGTGCGAGGCTCTCGATTGAGCGGATAAGACAAAGTGTAAATAAGTAAAAGGGATGTACACGGAATGAAAAGGGTTTAGATGAGTGCTGCCTATTCATCACATTCCGAGTTCCACAAAAAGGAAAGGCCTGAAATTTATGCTAGTTAGACCTAAGATTTTGAACTCCTGTAGCTTTCAGCAGTCCTGCTCCGTGACCGAGCCCCAAAGTTACAAAAAACTAGAACTTACCTTAATTGGGCTGATTTTCTTGTTTACATTCCAAGATAATTCGTGCTGACTGAAGGCTGACTTTAGGCTAAATATAACGATAGGCATGCCTAACCATGCAGATATATTATTTTAGAACCTTCTGTCTAGGCTTATTAACGAAATCTAATTACAAAAATAGGATATTATGATAGTAGGCAGACGTCACGATTACATATTCTTCGCAAGGATTTTCTTGTTGTTACCATAATTTTGGTTTTACGGCGACTCTGCTCTGATTAAGAACAACCCAGCGAGTTCATGATAAATGATGAAAGAGACCTGCACGATGAGAATTACAACTTCGGAATTTTGTTAGTCATTACGATACTAGACGATTTGACATTAGAACGCAAATGTATTTCAAATCTTAAAGTTTTACCCAGTTTATAAGGTAGTATTAAGATAAACCTTATTTGAGCCCAGGAGACCTTATAATCGCTGTTGTTGACTGACTCTAGTCAGACAACTCGATCCAATCTAGATGGTTCTACCAGCCGTCATGCCGCCGTTTTAGGTCGAAAAACCTTCGACAAAAGAGCATTTTCCTTCATGTCTTAAAATGTTTCAGCCAATATACATGAACACCAAGAGGATGGCGCCAGATTATTTAGGATCAAGTTTTGATCTTAGCAACATTCACGAAGGTAATTCTTACACTTTACCTAAACCACTAACTCAGCCAACTAACAAGCTCTAAGCTTCCATAGCCCTACCCTGATTATTTGTATAGAAGAAGTCTGAGCATGGTAGAAATGGGTCGGGAAGCAGCGGACATACGATTTAATTCAGCACATAATGTAATTTAGTCATCACAGTTTGAAATACAGTAAAAGAATAGCAGCCTTAATATTCTGAGGTTCTCTTGATTTATAATCATAGAGAGGGGGGGGGGGGGTGACGTGATATTCAGTTCACTGAAAAAAAATAAAGATTGTCATGGAATAGCGGATGCCGTGTGATAATTAACAATGTAATCCGTTCTTCTATTCACTGTAGCGCCTTATTATAACAAATAGTATTGAATTCACACAGCAATTTGTCATTGGTATCCGTTCGCGACCGAATATTAATTGACACCAGTCATAAACATACAGCTCAATACCAAAAATAAAGCCTGACCAATATAGTTCAGACCTGATGAAGTGCCTCTTAACTTCGTTATATATGGTATGTCTGCGGTAGAGAGAGGGTATATTTGTATGAAGAGAACGAAAGTCATTTTTCACAAACCTGTGAAGAATCAAATTATCTAAATTACGTTTGTGTGGTGCTCCTTCAGTGAGAGGGGTCGAGAAATCTGCGCTTTTGTGTAGCAGTCGAAAGAGTAACTGAAAAGCTTGTTCCCAGTGGTTTCTCTTTATTTTGACGTCATTTCGTTGAACGTTAAGATTGTAGATAATGAAAACTGTAATCCGAAATTTTTTGAAAAACAGTGATTATCTATTTCGTGAAAGTCGGAACAGTGGAAGATCGTGAATGCAGATTTGTCTTTATAGTATCTCTACCGGTATTATCTGTGTTCTGGAAGTGTAGAAATCAGTAAAATAAAAGGACAGTTGCTTTATTGAACCAAAATGACATATTCAGAGAGAACGGCTTCTGCAAACGACAACGGCAATATAGACAGTCTGATATAGATTAAAGATATTTCCAGAATTGTTTTAATATGAAATAAGTTTAAGAATAGTTCAATGTACATGTCATGTCTATTAGCGGACAAAGTAATGTTATGCTGATCGTGCTGATAAGATAAGGATTAAACAATTAAAGCTTATGTTGCGTAGAAATTTTTTTGGTGTGTAAGAGAGATGACGGAGTTACCCCCCTAGTTTGCGGACACACGTTTCCTGGGCGTTTGTTTACAAAATGCACATAGCGAATTTAAGTCGGGGTAAATTAATTCACGATGAGAGAAAACTGATTAACATATTCTTTTTGCTTCTAAGTATAAGTAGAGTAGGTTTCAACTATTCCGACGACACGGTGAGAAGGTGTGGATATGTGAGGTGATGTTTGTTTTGACACTGATTACAACAACAAACAATTCATTCTGAACTGCTTAAGATTTGATTTCCAAAATCACACCAGCATCAATATGTGCCTTTTGATACAACAGTAAACCTTGAAATAACCCGAGTTTTTACTAATAATGCCTAGCTTTCTAAAAATTCTGCAAATTCTATGTCTTCCTCCTGCGCCATTATGGAACACTGTGGGCTACTCGTGGGCTATGGCTTGAAAATATTAGTTTCGATACCGATCTTAGTTAATTTAAGACAGGTAGAGGTTCAACAACATTCGAGAGGAGGAAATTAATCTAAGGCACAAGGCCCGGGCGCACTACGCAAATCTTTTTTTTTTTTTTTTTTTTTTTTCATTTCTACGCGGCAAATAAACAGTGAAGATGGAAGATTTGTACCACAGGATGCTGTAGGACGAGCGGTACCCGGGATACTCAGAATACAATGATTATGGCTCCCAATTTTGCGTTTAAGCTGAATCCCCAGGTCCAAGTTCTACTCAATTTTTAAATCCATGCGATTGATATTTGGTGGTTAACATTTATTTCGCTGTTTTTCAGTGCGCCCACGATTGACAAATTGAAAATTTGGCCGAGACATCCGGAATTTGTCGAGACTTTTGATGGAGCAAAACAAATTTTGTCAGCCAAATGCGCGTGGGCCCTAATAATGTAAATTTACCGTGGATTTCGTGGATTTACCGTCTTCGCTTCGTTCCCAGTCTCCTTGGGTCCTTTTCTAACGTTTGTTCAATTTATTGCTTGCATCAGGTACAGATCAGAATTAGAGGGGATGAGATACTTGATTACTATCGTAATATTAACAGCAGTATTTGAAATAGTCGGTAGTTTTCATTCTAGAAAAGAACTGGGACGTGGTAACGACGAAACAGTGACTGCAGAATCTCTCGATGCATTGGAGCAATTTTGTGAGGGCAGCGAGCGATGCAAGGTAAGAACTCCACAGGAGCAAATGTATAAAATTCAGACATTGTAATACTGCTTCATACGTAACAAAGGAAATGGTGGAATCCGCAAAGTTAAGGAAATTAAAGAAAAATATAGTAGTCTTAGCTAGTTCAAGCACAAGCAACGTCCTACCACTACTCACCCCCACTCCCTATGGAAACGGATGAGCTTACCCAGTCCTCCACGATCGCCGCCGATTAATCTCTTTCCGCGTGCTGTTTCGTTGACATGGCGTTTCGTAGTCGAACCAGCCTTTTGTTTCGTTCTTCTCTCAGCGCTTTTAGAACGGTAGCAGCTAGGAGAACATTTACTTCTCGTTTCAAGGAAAGTGGGTCCTATTTTAAATTCGCTGGACCTGTTCTGATCGGTGCTTCGGCTGCTACTGCAGGACTATTTGCTGCAAATCAATTGTACAGGAACAATTTTACCCTCATTGGAAATGTTCACGCCGCAACAAAGGTGGGAATTGTGAATGTTACAGTCATTTATTCTAGAAGTATAATTCTATGCGCGCTTTCTCCTCTAACTTAAAGATGTTCTGTACCTGAAGATTATTTTCGGTATCTGAAACGATATTGGTCGAGTTTTTACACCCCCCGCAACCCCACTTTTTTTTAGCCTCCAAAATATCCTGATATTTACGGCCATATTTCGTTGAATTCTCCTATTAATACGGTGATACGACCACCTCCTCTCCTCTTCATATTTGAAGAAAGTGCTCACAACTCAAACCGGAAAATTGTTCAATAATGGTGACGGTACTTTGTACATTAAGTGTAGAAGAGTGTTGGCACCCAGTCATAACCCAGTTGTCACCCAATAGAACCTTACCTCGCTTTTCATTCATAACGTAGAGAAAATGTCAGGACCTTAGAGAACCATGAAGATTACTGATCACTTCACATAAACCTCCACCAATGTCATCTATTGCATAATTTGCACTTATGGCAAAAAGTTATACATTGGTGAAACAGGAAGACGACTTGGTGACCAATTCTGAGAAAACCTTTACAACATAGAAAGAATGACAAGGATGCATCCAAACCAGTCACTAGACACCTAAGTCTCCTTAATGGTCATAAGAAGCATGTGGCCGTCAAGGATCTTATATGTGAACTGCAGTATAAGAAATAGGTGTGATCTTCACAGCAATGAACACTGCTAAAGCAGTAATGAAAGTGACCCTAGAAAAAAAAAATCCAGGTCTATGCATGATTAGAACCCATGACCTCTACAATACTTATGCAGTGCTCTACCAACTGAGCTAACAAGCCAACTGGGAGCTGGTTACTATGTTGGTTCTTACTAAACCTTTGAAGTAATGAATCAATGACTGTGAACTCAGTGCAGTTTAAGAAGTGAATATTTGCAAGCAATCTTCACATTGATGAATACTGCCAAAGCAGTAATGAAAATAAGGCCTGAAAAAAATTCAGGCCTGTATGGGATTTGAACCCATGACCTCTGTGATGCCCGTGCATGGCTTTCTGCAGCCTTTCATTATGTCCAGGTAGTTGGGAAAGCAGCAAACCCTGGAACAAACATTTAACTTTCAAATTAGCACTATTAATCCTCATGGTATCAAGGAATGCTTTTCATTCAACTAATTTGTTCTTGTTCTTCTTTTTACAAGTTCCCAACCCACAATTTCTCCATTTGTTCTGATGAAGAACTAACACTTGAAATGTCAGCTCTGAAACTCTTGACATTAGCCAATTTACTTTATCAACTCAGTTGATAATACTAAATTACCTTGAACCTCACCTTAACTAGGTGAAGACCACAAGTTAAGGGGTGATCCCAGGTGCATGTGATCTCACCTTTGGCAACTTTTGTTTCATACCTCACTGTACTCAGTACTAAAACTGACATGCTATCATATGGGTAGATATTTTGCAAACATCTATTTTAATAATCCAGTAACTGGTCAAAGGGAGCTCTGAGAAGCTGTGTGTTCTGCTCTTATAGGTATACCAACTCTTGCTCAGAAACTTGATTACATTTGACAGCAATTTTTTTGTGTGTTAAGGTTGAAGGCCAAGGTAAATCAGAGAGAACCTTTATCATGGTCAAACCTGATGGAGTCCAGCGGGGTTTGGTTGGAGAAATTGTCAAGCGCTTTGAACAGAAAGGATTCAAATTAGTAGCATTGAAATTTATGAAGGTGAGAAACAGTGACTCTGTGTTCTAACTTTATTTGTTCCAAATCAAGAGCTTTTGGAACTTTTTGATGCGATACTGTTCTAGCTTGTGTGAGAATTCTTACCTGATAGATGATTAAGTTTCTGAATTGACTACCTTATTATGTATTATCCTTGACAAATTTTGAAATCTAAATTCTCACATGAGGAACAATTTGTGGATTTTTGGCCATTATTTTGCCATTGAAACTATTGATACCACTTGTCACTTAAGAGACCACAAGACTTCTTTTTGTGTACAAAACCTGGGAAGCTGCAACACGCTTTTGCCAAAAAATATTTTAATTTGGTTTTAACTCTGATAGGATATCTTTGAACTGATTCCTTAGTAAATTTCCTAACAGTCATTTTGAATTTGATTGAAGTGCAAACCAAGGTCACTCACTATTATTCTAGAACAAGATGTTTTTCCTCTACCATTGATTAGTACTGGGATTACCCCTAATGCACTGGAATACTTTAGGCATTGAGTTATGTAATAACAACTCCACACTTTTCTTGCCATGGAAATTGATATAGTAAACCATTTTCATTAATTTGTGGACTGACTTCTATGTTTATTTAAGGCGGACGAAGCCCTTCTGAAGGAACACTACGCAGACCTTAGTCATCTGCCATTTTTTCCAGGCCTGGTGAAACATATGTCCAGTGGACCAGTTGTGGCCATGGTAAGTAATAAATATTTCTGTGGTGGTTAGCCTTAGTGATGAAAGCTGAAGGTTAAAATATTCTAGATTTATATTAAATCTTACCAATGTCACCTTCAGTTAAGTAAGCTGTTAATAAATTATCTTTTCAATATTAATGCACTGGCAAACTGACAAGTGATAATGAAAATTTGTAACTACTGCTGAATATTGTTTGGATGAACACTGAATTCTTAGGACTTTGTAGTTATTGGTTAGAGGAATTGGCCATATATCTTAAGAATTGAACAGCAGATATTGCAAGCCAGCAGTTTTGCCACTGCAGCCCCCAACCATAATCAATCAACTTGAGTGTAATTTTCTTGAACCTAGGAGAATGCCTAGATTCTGAGGTCCTCTTAAACCTGCAGGTTTGGGAAGGTCTTAATGTTGTGAAGACAGGACGCCGTATGCTTGGAGAAACAGATCCAGTCAGTACATTAAAGCTTTTTATTGTATCATAATCTTTAATCCTGAATTTCAAGTTCTCCAATTATATTTTTATAGAATACACAAATTAGTGGTTACCTGCAAGCTCAAAACTAGGGGGAAAAAACTATCTAGTAAAAATTTATGAATATAAACATTGTGGCAAATCTTTTTTTAATGACTAAATGAAGGAAATTTTTTCTTTAGTGCACATGCATTTCATAGCAGTAAGAGAAAAAGTCATGCAAACTCTAAACCTCTCTGTATTCTTCAGGCAAATTCTTTGCCAGGAACAATCCGTGGAGACTTTTGTATCCAGATTGGAAGGTAAGCTGCTGTAGCCTTACTGAACCCTTGGGCAATCAAATTTTTTTTGTAATGTTATTTTATCTTTCTTTTGTGTTATTGAAGTGAAAAAGGTGACAAACATTTGCTGACAAATTTTGGATTATCATTGATGTTGAAGTAACTTTTCAGTCTTTGCCTTTAATGATTACCACTACACCTGTATTTATCCCTTGACTCTGCAGAAATATCATTCATGGAAGTGATTCAGTGGAAAGTGCTAAAAAGGAAATAAATCTTTGGTTCAAGAATGACATAGTAGAGTGGAATCTGACATCATCTGGAAACATTTATGAGTAACGATTGATCTGTAATAACTGGTAGTAATAAATTGAATTCTTCCCAAACTTATTGTGTTGTAAATCTAACAAAAAACAAATTAAATGATATGTGCCCATGTTGTAGCAATCACACCTTTACCTTGAAAGCCATTCCACTCTTGAGTAATTTTTGTTCTCCTGTAGATAAAGCTATGTGTCACTAGGTACCTCTTTCTGTTGCTTCTTATATCCCATTTCCACTAAAGCTTAAACATGTTTTGAAGTTGTTTTGTTAAACACAGTTTAATTTTTTTCTTTGTAGAAACTACTTAACTTAATATTTTTTTTACTTGAATGTAGCACATTGGAAATGCAAGTTAGCAAGTACTTGAATCGTATGGAATATTAAGTTTTTCAGCTCTCTGTTTATGATTTTCATCTAGTAAAAACCAGTTTAACAAAATATGTTTCAATGGTGTGAATAGGGTACTAGATAAAGATACCTGACAAACCAGATATGCCTGTAGGCTTGCCCTGTACAGTCAGCTAGGCAATCAGTAAAACCCAAGGAATAAATAACTCACCCATAACACTTCTTTTGGTTCTGTATTACAGTGCAATTAATTCAGACTATAGCAACCGGATGAGAGTCCATTTAAACAACTCCTTTTGATATTTTGACTATTCATGTTGTAAACACAATTTGGCAACATAAACCATATGTGAGGCTTCTCAACAGACCGTCTGTTTTCCCATGTTTTGTAATTCAGATGGTAACCCATAGTAACTGAATGCAAATTATAATTCTTTCATTTTTTAATCCTAAAATCTAAAATAATGTGCAATCATCTTAAAGACCTATTAGTTCCACAATCATCACAGGTCGACAATCAAGTTGGTGTTTCTTTGCATGAGAGCTTCAGTTTCAATGCATTGAGATGCATAATCACAACCTCGAAATGCAAGTCCCATGGAGGGGGAGAGAAGGAACAGAAGGAACAGAAAATGGAGTATCTATCACTTAGAGATTAATGTAGATTTACACATTTTCACTAACTTGGACAAAAAGGTTTATATGTTGTTGGCTTTAAAACAAAATTATTCTACAAAGGCAAAGGGAGTTCATAAGCACTCCAGGGCACCACTCTCCCTGTAATGACAGTTATTATAGTCTGAATAAAAAGTTAGAAATAGGACAACCTGTGATGAAATAATTTATCAATAATAGCACTTGATGATCAGTGTTATACCCGTTTCACCTGTCTATGCTGAACTATGTTGTTGGCATCTAATTAATACAGAATTGTATTTTGTAAAAAATATTGATTCGATTCTATGATCGGTAAAGTTCATTACTATCGTATCCCAAATCTAAATGAGGATAAGGCCAACAGGATGTGACTGCATTTGTTATTCCTTCCTCCTCTCCCCTCCCTCCCCGTCACCTCGGGAGTTTGTTCCAGTACCTTATATGGACACTGAACTTTCTTAAAGTCCCAGGGCACGTGGCGCTTAAGACTGTTCTCGATAAGGAGCTCGTGATTCTTGCCTCTGCTGGAACTGTTTCAAAAAGTACCCTCTGAACATGTCGAAAGACGAGCGAACCTTCCTTATGATCAAACCAGATGCTGTTCACAGAGGACTGATAGCAGATATCATTAAAAGATTTGAACAGAAAGGGTTCAAATTAGTCGCCATGAAATTTGTCAAGGTACGCTGCTTTTGTGTAATCCCTACTCAATGTCTGATGGGGTATTTCTTTGAGCGATAAGTCACGAAAAGTTATTTTTCATTCTTTTAGGCGAGTGAAGAACTCCTTAAAAAGCATTACGAAGAACTGGCAAAGAAACCATTCTATAATGGCCTTGTGAAATATATGGGATCAGGCCCTGTTGTGGCAATGGTAATAAATTTGATTGTGATCCATGTGTTGAAATGTTGCTTACTACTTTTCTTCAAGGCTGACTGTGACTAAAGTTCCGACCTTTTTGTAATCAGTAGTTCTTTTTATGGTGATCGCCCGTCTTTTATTACAACCTTTGAGAATAATGTACTCCTAAGTCAGCAACAGCAATCAACTTACCACAATGTCTTTAGTTCTCGCATGTCATCAAAATGGAAAATTTTTTTTTGCAGTTTTGATAAGCTATGTATAGAGTTCCTGTTTCACTCAGTATATTTGCGATTAACTTCGTTCGGTGTGAGTTCGAATGAACAGTCCTTTGGCGTAAAGGGAGGGACGGAAAGGGAAGGGTGAGGGTCGAACTGAAAGACAAGGTAACCAAAAGAAAGAAAAATATGCAAAGAATTGAGGAATTAATAAATAAGGCTGGATACAAATAGAAATGTTACCCCAGAGATCAGAATTTATCACAAATTTTGGCAGAAGGAAGATTGAGGTACAAAGCTCGCCTTGTCAACCTGCAACCCTGAAAATTTAATCCATGGTCTTTTTCCTTCTTTTTTTGAGTGTATTACCAAACAGACCTCAATTACTGTTTTAAAAGGTTGTGCTATGTAGAAAATGTTTCTTGTTTACTTAATAACTGAGCTTTTCAACAATTTCATCCAGGTGTGGGAAGGACAAGGTGCTGTTTCAACATGCAGAGCTATTCTTGGAGAAACAGATCCAGTGGGTATTGTTGTGACAAAGGATGACAAACTAATAATGACTATTGCTCAAATTACATTTTTTTAAAGGAAAAATGTATTGTAGTAATTTGATTTCATTCACTTGCAGGCAAAATCTAAGCCAGGTACAGTGAGAGGAGATTTTTCCATTCACATTGGCAGGTTAGTGTTCCTTTATGGCTCTTTTTACTGTTACTTTAACTGTTTTATTTTTGTTCTTTTTTCGGTTAGCACTCTGCAAGTAAAAAAAATCAATTTTGTATTCTCTGGCAATATGTTGTAACTGTTATTCTTTGTGCTGTACACAAAATTGATTCCTTTGATTTTGTCTCTAGGAACATCTGCCATGGCAGTGATTCAGTGGACACAGCAAACAGAGAAATTAAGCTCTGGTTTAAAGACGAGGAGCTTGTTGATTGGGAGCCAGAAATGGCAAAATGGATTTATGAATAAAAAGTCTCCTGAGTTGGGTGAAGAGTAAAACAATGAATTTAAATAAAGTTTCATCATTTTGAATGGTATTTCTGCATGTTGGTGTTCTATGTTCAGGTAATTGAACCACACAGGCTATTTCAAATTAACCAATATTATTGTAGCTTTTTATTTCTGAAGATCATGATATAAAAATAAATTAATATAAATAAATCTTTGAATATTAGGCAGTGAAATTTGTACCTAACAGAGAAACTGAAAACATTTTCAGAAATTCTGAGGTACTTCTAACAATGAAAATAGGGGAATGACTGTCAGGTTTTTCCAAACCAATTATTTTTAAATTTTTTTCTCAACAAAGGTCCAAAATTATGGTTTTATTCTAACATTAAAAGTAATCAGAGGTTAAGTGGGAAAACTGAGAAAATATGATTTAGTGGACAACAATTTTACAGAGCCATACTGGGCAAGAATCTTTGGAGATATATCCAAAAAGTGTATCCTTGAACAGTTTAAAAGGGCTTCTGCATAATTATTAATACTTTGATTGTTACTCAATAAGTTTTGAGAGCATTACAATGTGGGCCCAATACACATCTCATGTAGGTAAGTAATTTTCCAATGATCCAAGCCTCATTTAAAAATTTCCCACAGTAACAGTTCCTTATTTATCAATGTGAGGTGAAATTGGCTGCATGTTCTTCATGTTCATCAAAACCATTGCTCTTTGCTTAACTTCCTCAGACATCACTTCAGGGCAAATGGTAAATAAAATGAGCTCAAACAGAACCTGTAAGAAAAACAAAGATGGATTAAAAATCCACCAGTTTCTTTAATAGCTAAAAAGATTGCCATGCAAATCAAAATGTAGTCTGGTGGAAACTTAGCAGTAACAAGGTCAGAATGAGATGAAAGATTCCATAGACAGCTAAACAGAACAGTAACCTGTTTCCACCCACACACCCTTCTGTATTCTTAGCCTAGCATCCTTATCATGCATCACTCAACAGTAAAAACCAAATAGGACATACCTCTGTTTATCAAATAATGTAAATCTACTTGAAACTAAATTAATAAGGAGAAATTTCTGACAAAGAACTTACATAAAACAGGTGTTTGGTAACCCTGATATCCTGAAATGCTTCAAACACCTAAAACAAACATGTCTCATGTAAAAGCTGGAAAAAAGTGTTTTCAGGAAAACTTCACCCCATTCACTTGCTCAATCACAGAATTTTAAGAATAAAGAATGTTCAATCCAGTTGTTTATTGTAAAATATATAGCACATAAACACTAATCAAGGTACATAACTGTAGCCAGTTAAATCATTAGGGTTACCTTCAGAGTTCCAAGTTTACTATTTTTTTTTCCCACCAGATTCTGGAGAACTTCTATAATATGAATTATTAATAAAAGAAGAATTTTTAAGGATCTTTTATGAAGTAATCTTTTACAACTTAGTATGTGAACCAGTAATTCTATTAATGTCATAAATTTAAAAATTAATTAAAGGACCATTCCCATATATGATTACTGAAAAGAATGGAAAATTTTTCATCATGTAAAAAATTCTGATGGGTGGGAATTAGAATTATCTTGTATTAACTGACACCCCCACTAACATAGCACCACATTTTCCTCAGAAACTTGCCCTCTCAATAAAAAAAAAAAATTAATATCAGATAACTGATAAAACTCTATTGATGATCTGAAACTGTTCCTACATTTCTCAACATCTGTGTGACAGGGAATTAAAGCTCGTTGCCCATTTCTAACTTGCCTGGAATGTTTTTCAGAAGTTTTTGTCTTGCTCTTTTACTTGTCTTAAGTTTCTCCTGAAAGAGAGATGATGACTGTGGAAAGGCATATTTTCAGTTACCATTTAAATCAATTTTGATCACATCTTTAAAAATACCTCAAGTACTAAATCATTGTATTTTGCAAAGAGTTCCATCTTGAATTCCTTGTTCTGGAACTAGCCTGAGATACATGCCAATTATTTTGTCTACTCTCCATGTCCAGCAAAATGATTGAAGCTTGGAGCCAATGTTTAAAAATATTGAAAAATTACAATGTTGACAGACATTCAATGTAAAAAGTCCAACTTCCTTACTGCATCAGTACGTTGTACAGCAGGTTTAGCCAGTTCCCCACCAGGCCATGTTGAGTCACGGAACAAACGAATGTAGTACATTACCATTGATTCTGACACAAGCCACTCAACCATATGATGGATTTCCCTGGTCAAGGAACAAAGTCTTCTCATTAGATGGTAATCAGGATTTATGAAGATAAATTAACTGTCCTTCAATTCAAGTAAGAGGTATAAATTAAACATGATACATTCTACTGTCTGCAAAGGTTCCCACACTTTCTCCATATGTAATGTTTTTGGGATCAGTTAATTGCTAAATATAACTGTTCAACCCCCTTGTGATAAGACACAAATATTATAAGCACACCATAGAAAGGAATCAAAATACCAGTGTGAATAACTTCATTAATTTTAACCTTTATGTCAAGTGACTGAAAATTTTATGATTCAAATCTGTCCTTGGTTTAATCATTTTTCAAACTAGTATGATGACCCACTATATGATATTTACTTCCAATATTTTCATTTCACTATTATGCATGATATTTTGCCATATTAAGGCAACAGAACCCACAAAATCAATGGAATTATGATGTAGAACAGGGCAAAAATATGAAGAAAAAAATGAGAAATAAAAAGGCCACAGGCAGCCATCCAAACTGTAAACTGTTTGACTGTGTCATTTCAGGGACAAACTATATTGATTGAAACAATTTTCTATTGTGGCTGGTTTTGTTTGTTTTGTTTTTATCTTTAATACATGCCTTAAGTAATCAAAACAATGCTCAAAGAATGCCAAAAAATTACAAAATTGAAAAAAGATGGAAAGACTAGTCCCTTTTTTGATCCAGGTTTAACATACAACATCCCTTGGCCTTTTTGCTTATTGCTCATATTTTTCCTTCCTTAGAAAAATATGCTGCAACTCACAAAATATGTGCCCACATTACATGTTGAACCACTGAAAAAGGTGTATTTATAACAAACTCATCCAGAAACTCTTACTTGTTAATTGTGCCTCCAAATGTGACTTGAACAAAAGCTATTAAAGTTCTTCTCAGCCACTTAAAAACTGTGCACAAAAATAATTGTTCTTACTAATATCAATGTATTTATTGTTCTCATCATTATCATCATCATCATCATCATCATCATCATTATTATTATTATTATTATTATTATTATATCATATTATAATGGCTATCATTATTTTATTTTTCCTCCAAGAAGATTCTTTCTGAGGAAAATTATATTAAATACAAGATCACTGTATCCATTCAAGAAAAGGTATCCTGCATGTTGAAATTCATCACATTTACCTCCTTTCAGCTCAAATATTTCACCAATCAACCCATAAAATGGCTCAGCTATAGAATCTTTACGCAGAGAACTGCCCATAACAAGAAAGGGAAATGTCAGGAAAGATAATTGACTAACCTCAGCAAACATCTTTCTTCCAAAAATAGCAAAACCCAATGTTGAAAGTGCTTGTTAGTATAATTGTAATATTTTTTTATGTAAACACTGACATACAAATTAACTCCATCTACTGTTGTCTCATTTTCAAGAACAAAACAATAAAATTTCCTAAAACAATATTCCCATTTTGTCTACTTTGAGAATACTGTGAAATAAAAATGATTTAATTTCTTGAATTATTATGTTCAACTTGTAAATCATCAATAACATGTCTCACCTGTCCTCTGGATCAGGACCTGTTTCCTATAGAGTAATTTTCAAAAACAAATTAATCAACTGCTTGTGGAGGGTGAAAATTACTATTTTTTCTCAATTTTTTCATCCCAGTGAGAATTAAAATTGTAAAATTAACATCAATTAAGAAATAAGTTTTTAAAGGTGGACATTGACAACCAAATGATCTTGTCAGCTATAACAGTATTTATACTACTAATTGAACACATTCATCTTAATAACCGTTTTTTCTAACCTCATCAGCTTCTTCTGCTGGAATGATGTCAAAAGGTAGGCTAATTCAAGAAAAAGTGAACAGCTTGTTAACATTGAAGTAAACAAACATTAAGCAGAAAGCCACATCAAACCACTTATTAACCAACACAAACACAATTCTACACATTTTACATACCTTTTTAACACTGACAAAAGGGAAAACCCTCTTTTGGTTGGTTCACTTAAAAGAAAAGTGGGGAATCTTATTAGGTAAAATTAAACAATTCAAGAGAAAATAAGTAGACTCAAAGAACGTCAATAAACTATTCATCTCTTTAATACATGCACCTGTGCCTTTTACATGTATTTGTTTCAAACCACAAAATTCTGTAAATACAACTTACTCTGATTTGAAGTTCATTGCCAAAAGTGCACCAAAGATAATTCAATATGATTTAAAATTGATTGAAGATAATGTGATGATAATCTTATTAACAATTAAACCTCTTTTAAATACCTCTGCTTCTTAAGATGTTCAGGACTGGGGCTGAGAAAAGAGTACAGCTCTTCACTCAAGCACAGCTTTTCATCAGCTAATAATGTCTTCAACAAAAGTAATAAATAACACAAAAAAATTGGTAAATGTGTTGGTAAGCATACTATGAGCTAACTTAACCTCAAAACTTTAATTCTATATGTTTTCTTACACAAACAACCAGCTCATTTTACAGAAAATTGCAAGGATAGGAAAACATGCAACACAACTTTACCTGTAGGTATTCTTCCAATGCTTTCCTTGATCGTTCTAAAAACTCGTCATCAATGGATCTGTACCATTTTTTGGATGGCACAGGTAGATCACGAGTAAGCCAAGAACAACACTGCAAGACACAATAAATTAAATATGTTATTATTATAATCATTTATTTTCTACTAATAAAACAGACCAAGCGCCATTTTTGTTACAACTGAGAGTTAACCACTAATAGATTATTACTTGGAAGGAATAAGTATAATTTAGTTCCATTTCCATGCTATATCATTACCTCCTTTAATTTAACATGAAGAGTCTCAAAATCTTTGAACTTCCTAGTTACAACCCAGCCTTCTGAATTGAGATTTCCATCTCCCTCTTGTGATCTGCCAGCTGACTGAGACTTCTCACCAGCACTGTGAACCACTATAGCATACACAGGTACTGACCTCTCACCATCTATATTCCACTAAAAGGAAAAAAATGAAACATAGCAAGTAGTCATATGGATCTCACTGCTCTGTCTATCTGGTGCCTAAAATTTTTAAACCAAGTGTGTAAAGCTACAGACCTACCTCTACACTAGGTATTTCTATCTTCCACATCCCTAAGTTTTCACACCATTGATCTGCGAAAAACAATCAGGGAACTCTTCGAGTTAATTATGTATGGAGATAGGGATTGAATAGACATTTGGTTCTTAAACACAAATAAATTTCAGGGCGCATGCCTGATAGAATACATTTATCAAACTCTTTGTTGTTTCCATACTTCACAACACTCAACCTTCTTTACAACAAATCTGATAACTGGAAAATGAAATACCATACTCTATGACACTACCCACTGCTGCCGTCACAATGAAGAAAAATATTTCGTGGAGAACTACAATTATTCCTGTTAAATGGTTAAAATATTATAAGATGCACTATGCCAATTTCCAACAGTGCAAAATATGCAGAGCATTGCAAGAACCCACATCATCATCAGGCTTAAGTACGAATGATTGCAAACATCTATTATTCTTTCACTACCTGTTCTCTCCACATGAAACTCCAGCTGCATTCTTTCTATTTTCAACTTTTCAATCTCACCAGTAAGATATTCCATTTCCTCAAAAAGGAATAAAATAAATATTACAACCACTAAAAAACAAACGATCATCATTACTTACAGTATGGTTATGCTACTTAATTGAAACTTAGTGCTACAAACCATCCATTCCAATGATATCTTGAGAAGCTTTTAATTACAAAACTTCAAATAATTACATTTAGTTATAAATATATTCTTGTTATTAATAATCAAAACAAATGATTTAATTTTAATCATATGCATGGAATTCCCTAAAAAATAAACCAAAAATATCTTAAGGACAAGGAACATGTTTTGGACAGGGATCCAGACTGGTTTATGGGAGGAGTTTCAGAGGCAATTTACATTACAGCTCACAAACCAACCCTAAATAGAGGTGGGTGGGGGGGGAAAAAAAACAACTTTTCAGCAATCTAGAAGAGGCTGGTCAAGTCACAGGTCAGGTGACTTGAACAAGGCTTTGGCAGAGAACAAGCTCAGAATTCTACCATCTATGGTGTGTCAAAAATGAAAAAGTTGGCATTAAGATTACAAAAATTCTACACAACTTGGTATACCCTTTAAAAATATTAATTTTCATTGCTAAACAATATGTTGCTCTTAACTCATATTTGTAATTCAAACAAACTGGCTCTGTACCTCGACCTCAGCTCCATAACTTCTTTTCACAAGTTCCAATTGTTGTGTCTTGAGGAGAAATTATCGTCATTTTAAAAATTACACTTACAATATCTTCATGAAAATGATCATTACAAACCACTACACAATTTTAAGTTGTAGATGTCAATTACTGAGGTACCTACAAAAGGAGAAAGAACATTGAACAATAGAACCTCTCTTATCTATCATAAATTCTTACAACAAACAATATAAAGCTGTTCTGTAAATTTGTTCTTGTGGTACAACCAGAGCATACATTTTTATGATTGGCATTACCTTTGAGGCAAGTCTTTGATCAAGAACCTCTAACTTACGGACAATTGCTTCACTCCGTTCTTCTACAGTACTTGGTTTACGTGCTAAAAAGAACATGGGATCTAATCTTAATTCAAATGTCAAAAAGCAATCCCACTAGTGCTTCAGTCATCTAAAATATATTTGAGAAAAGAAAAATACTACATAAATTATGAGGAAGCATAAGAGAATACTTAAATAAAATGTCATCTATGCTAAGGATTGATGCATAAAATTTATTTTCTGCTGGTTCATCAGCTGCCAGTACCTCTCTTTTACTTTATGAATTCATATACCTGTCTATTTTTTCAAGGAATACCAATTAATTTTTGTGTATGTGCACTGGTCTTAAACAAGAATTAAAACAGTTGATTAACTCCTTCAAAATATGAGTGATCATCAAAAAATAATAGCAAAAAATAAATGGTTGGAAGATGTCCACACACCAAGCTTTGGAGTGCCATCACTTTCTGTTCCAACCTATGATAAATCAGAAAAGATATGAACATCCTCATACAATGGAAAACTGTTTCAAGAAATTGATATGCATAGTAGTTTAAACGTATATTCATTTTTTTCCATTACTATCTACTATCAAAATACAGAAACATGCCCTAGGAAAAATTTTCAATCTACATAAAACTCTACTTACAAAATTTATCTTATTGAGAGTTCAAACATTCCAGTTAGTATGATTTAAAACTGTTTTTCACTTTTCTAAACTGAATGTACATACATCTTCATCAGTTGTATCCAAATCAAATTCATCATTCCAATTCAAATCCAGGTCATCATCCTCCCTGTGTTGAGCACGCAAATCATCTAACTCTGCTTCTGATTGCAAAACAAACATGAAGTACTCTTCACTTAGCACAAACTTGCGGTAAAACCTTTCCTCTAAAGTTTTATAAACTTTCTTCTGTGCATCAAAGAACCCTTGGAGTCCATGGGTACCATGCAGGTACTGCTCCATTCCTCTCACCAAAGTAGTGTCCAACATCACAGATTTGTCTGATGATGGTGCAACATAAACTTGGTAGATTTCTTGTGCACTTTCATGCAGTTCAGTGTATTTTACTAACTTAAGATTCTCGACAGCCATCCAGAAACTGCAATCATTGAAAAAAGAAATCAATGAATTTCAATGGAACATTTCATATTTAAAGAAAACCATAAAACATCATCACTTGAACTGTCACAAATCAATTTAAAAATATTCTTGTCTGGGTGAACAATACAAAGTCCATGGTTTAACATCAATGTGATTTGCAATCATCTCAAAAATATTTGAATTGATATTTAGATTGTGGTTCTAAATCTTTGGAACAAAAGAATAATCCAAAACTGACCTAAGCATATTTTTGCTGCCAGTTTTATTTTGAAGGAACAGCATAAAAAAGCTCCTTGCCAAGCTGTTATCCATCACCTCAGGAAAGCCTAACACTTTGGCTTGAGATTTTGCACTCAATTTTTTAGTAAGCTTGACTTTCTCTTGTCTAGTCTGTATTATGTCTGTCCCTCCATTATTAGTGTAATCAGGTCCCCCTAACATTTTGATTCGACGTTCACACTGAGCTTTAGCCACAGTACACTGGTTGATGTAACGTTTTAGATTCCTAGCTCTCAGTTGAGTATCTTTCTTCAGGGCTTTTCCCTGTTTGTCATCTTGTCCAAACTGGTCAATTCCCTTTAAGTTGTTAATTGTAGTTGCCTGCATGATTTCTGCAATTATGTGATACCTGTGTGGTAAAATCAGATCAAAAAAGGAATTTTAGTTTCCTTTATCCAAACAAAAATAAATACAGTCAAACCTCTATACTCCATCTTAAACCTTCACAAATGTCTCCTGAGGGTGGGGGTCAGAGCCACCAAAGGTTTTTTCAGGGGGGGAAGGTTGCATTATAATGATTCAGAAGAAAAGCTGGTGCTGTGAAAAAAAAAAAATCTGCAACTTTGTGATCTTCATAAATAACTTGTAATGCTGTTACCTAATTTGTTTCAAAGCTTCAACTGAATTTGATGTATTGATCATCTTGATGAAGTCTTCATAAGTTTCTGCATAAGCATAGCCTTGCTTGTGCTGAGCTGTGAGAGCTTCTTTGGCCTCCAAATGGACAAGAAGGGTTTGGTTTATATAGTCAGGATCGCACAACATGTCGGCCAGAGGCTGGAAGACAGAGAACGCTAAAATCTCGCGCAAAAGGTATCGCATTGTGGAACAACGTGAATTCTTTTGAGGAAGAAGACAACAAAGCATAACCTCGGAGGCTTTGCGGAGATAATCAAGCTCTGCAGCTCGACTCGTGAGGCATGGATGGAGAACAAAGTGAATCGCATTATCAGAAAAGGCTCGGGTGTCTGCGAGTCGCAGCTGTTGGAAGTGTCTGCTGAGAATTTCAACCACGTCATTCGACAAGAATTTCACGGTGTCAACACATTTTAACCTGTCCACAAGATTCGCCGTCACAACCCACAGCTCTTCAGTAAGTATATCGACAAAGGCAGCTTCATCTTTACCCAAATCGCGAAACCAAGATAGGCAAAAATCACGGATGAACAAGTCAAACACCTCCTGGATGGCTTTGTCGACAGGTCTTGAAACAACCGTCTTGTGCTTGTAAGGTTTATGCGTTTGACTTCGCGTAAGCTTAGCCAGAAAACGTCTGACTGTTTCAACTTTCTTTGGAAGTCTTGGTGTCGATGGGTTTCGTTGTTTACCAGAGAGGAGGTATAGCATTACCCCTGAGAAAATCCCCAGTAGTACAACAAAAAAGTTCCATATTGTCCAGTAGAGGCTATGGAGAAATCCAACCTGCCATAGCACAGCTACAAGGATAGTGCAACCTACAATGTAGTAATTTTGCATGACTCACGAATTGCACAGTCCAATCGACCGGTATTAATAAAGTCATTAATCTCTCTTTCTCATTTTGGGGAAATCTGCAACCTCAATTTTGAGCCTTCGCTTTCAAGTCAAATTTGCTGCAAATTTGTGCGCGGGCATATATTCTCAACTTTGCCGCTGAACCCTACAAGACAACTGCAATCTTTGTAAAATGGCGAACCAAGGGGAAGGAAAAGGAGAGAGATCTGAAGATGATTTCATTCCTCTTAGAACAAATACGAAACGAAATACCACGGGACAGGAAGACAACTTAATGAAATCTTACTACGAGGAGGTTGAAAATATAACACAGCTTTCTGAGGAAAAAATTGATGAAATAAGGTGGCAAAATGGGATTGAGATCCAAGGTGAAAATTGCCCGAAACCTATAACAAGTTTTCAAGATTTAAAGTTACCTCCTGAACTGCAGGAATACTTGCAAGATAATGGCTACATTAGCCCTACTGCAATCCAGATGCAGGCTCTCAGCTGTGTTATGAGTGGAAGAGACATCATTGGTTTGGCAGAGACTGGGTCTGGTAAAACGTTGGCTTATTCCTTGCCTCTGTGTATGTTTTTGAAAACAAGACAGCCATGTTTGCCTGGACAAGGACCTATGGCACTTATTTTGACTCCCACAAGGGAACTGATGCGACAAGTGTTTGATCATATTTCAGAATTGTTGTATTGTATCAGAACAAAGACTACAGGTATGGTTTTACCAAACAATAACCATGGCAGTGTTGCTGAAAACATCAATTCACTTCATTTGAATTACTCAAACACAACAAGGAGTTCTTATTTGAATACACATTTACCTTATAACGTGATGAACACAGGGTCACCAGGAATGCCTGGCTGTCATCCAGTATCAAGTCATTTAGCATCTTTCCCTTACTTATTCCCTGCAGCTTCACCAGTCAGCATCAAATACAAATCAGTTGGAATTTGTGGTGGTGTGCCAGTTTCAGTTCAGGCACAGGAGATAAGGAGTGGAGTGGATGTTGTCATAGCAACTCCCGGAAGGCTTCTTGACTTGTGTAAACGTGGCCTCATCAGTCTTGATAAAGTGTCATATTTAGTGATGGATGAGGTAGATAAGATGCTTGGGATGGGGTTGGAAGAACAGTTGAGGAAGGTTGTTGGACTTGCTACTAGAACTGAAAGGGCAAGACAAACACTGCTATGGACTGCTACCATGCCAGATTCTTTAGACAGATTGGCAAGGTCTGCGGTGTTAGATCCCATTACAATTCAAGTAGGACCTGTTGGGCTGATATCTCCTACTATCCAACAAAATGTCATGTTTCTGTATCATTATGAAAAAACAGAAAAATTATTACAAGTTCTTCGAAATACACCTATTCCTCCTGTCATTGTATTTACATCATCCATCCAGAATGTAGATTATGTCACAGAGTTACTTAAGGAGGAACAGTTCCATGCATCTGGCCTGCACTCTGAAAAACCTCAAGAATACCGATTTACTTTAGTGAGGGAATTTCGTGAAGGCAAAGTGGATGTGTTGGTGGCAACAGATGTTGGGTCAAGAGGTCTAGATTTTCCTGAAGTAACGCATGTAATAAACTATGATCTACCAGATAGTATTGAAGATTATGTTCACCGCTGTGGTCGTACAGGAAGAATGGGGCATTTTGGTGTTGCAACATCTTTTTTGACACTTGACTGTAAGATTGCTGAGCAACTAAAAGAAATGCTGGAAGTGATGGATCAAGCTGTACCCAAAGAGCTTGTGAACACTAAACAGTTTGGCAAAAAAATCATGAAGACAGAGTTTGGTGATAGAGTTGTAGATTTTTGAGAAATTGTTTTGCATTACAATGAAACTATTGATTTTCAAAGGAAGCAAGGGAACTTGAAAAAGTGTAATAAAACCATTTCCACCTTGTGTGAAAAAAGGTTAAGAGAAAGTTGTCAAATTTTATGTAGTTCAATTCTGTGTTTCGTCAATTGTAGATCAGTTATAGTACATAGATAGTGCTTTTAAGTTTTTCAACTAAGTAATGTTTTAGTCTGTTTTTTCTTCTCATCTCCATTAAAGGTCAGTTGAAGTGGATGCTTACCAGAAGGGCTGCACCCACCATAGGGTTTACACAGTTCCCTAATAATTCATTTTTCTTTGGAAAAGTAGACTGCAGACAAAGTGAAGAAAAAATCTCTAGCTGGGGAGATGTACTTATGACAGCCATGTTATTTTAATTTTGAGCTTTTGAGGGAAGAGTAGTAAGTTATTTATATCGTGGTTATTGTTTTTTGTATGTGTGAAAGACTCTTCCATCACTGAAATCTTCCATATTTAAACTACATAAAGTAAAATTCAGCTAATAACAAATATTTTTAGCCTCACACACTCAGACCGATTATCATTTCTAGAGGTTTTAATAGTGTGCTCGTTTTTCCAATGAGAGTTTGGTGATGTTAAGTTTTTCACTGTGAGTTCTACCCCACGAAGCGTAGGCCGTGACATCATACACATGACAAACACGACTGGTCAGGAAAGAGTGAGATACAATAGGACAGGAGTTAATTTCATACCCGCAAGTACAAGTCTTATTCAAGCAATAATACCTTTGTACTCCAGCCTGATCACCACTCAACTCGTTAAAATATGTATTTAAGCGAGACAATAGGGATGGTGTAGGTTACGCAAACTTCGCTGCACACAAATTTCGTCATCTCAACATAGCCCCATTGGCATCTGTGTTAGTGACAGAGTTCCAGGAATGCAGTAAACTTTGTGTCAACCGAACAAGGAGTTTTTCTATCAACTTGGCAGCTATTTCCAAGCGATAAATATCGATAGCAAATCACAAGAGTTCGTCAACAGCGTAGCGTTTCTTTATCTAAGCATAAAGGTCAGTAGACAAGTTCCGTATGTTGCTTTCTCACTAAAACCTGAACACCTAACCTCCTCACCTCTAACCCTAGATAGTGAAAGAGAGAAGAACACGAGAATTTTTGTTTGGCGATCTTTGTTTTAGCTCCTTTCGATTATTTTTAAGTACTTTTATTAGTCAGAATTAAAGTTTGATTGGAAGGAAGGCTGGTCATAAAATCGTTCGAGGAGATCATTATAAATTTATGGGCCAAAAATAAACGATTAAGAAAAATTTCAACCATCATTTGAGTTGAAATTTCATTTCCAAACATTTCGTTGTGAAACATGAAAAATAAAACAAAGGATGCTATTTATTTACACTTCGTTCTACTCCTATTTCGTAAGATACAGTTCTCAAAGTTATTTACGAGGTTATGTATAAATTAGCTTTAGAACTCGTCATGGTGGTTAATTTATATTTTCAACTGCACTAATATATCCAATTCATTAGTATAATGCCAAGAGTGAAATTTAGAGGAGATTCACTGAAGAAGAAAAACTTGAATCAGACAAGCCATCAACAAGTTCTTTTAACTTAGCAAAATAGTTCCCGCTTACCTTTAGGGTGATTACAGGCAGAATTTGACGCCATGGAAAGAACAGATTTTGCTTTGAACTATCATTTGGTATCAAAATTGAGTGCAGTTTATCATAATTCAGACCGTCAAACGAAAAACTTGTATTCGAGAAGGAACTAACAGAAAGAATATCATTAACAAAATTAATCGAGAAATAGATTGTGTGTTACACAATTGTCATTTTAGGATAAAAATAAGGACAACATGCGTAGGATTAGAGCCGGTGCATGCAAAAAAAATGTACTCCCCTACATAGAAAAAGTTTACATGTGAAAGATTAGTCTAAGCAAATATTTTGGCCTCACTTTAGGTATAACACTAATCTACAACTCTGATATTAAGTTAATGAGAAAAGGCTGGGGGCAATGAAGGGTCAAACTAAAAAGGATAGGGTCGTAACCTCGCATCAAGATTGATTGACCAACATAGGTTAATATTACTGAGCCGTCGGTGACAAGTACAAAGTGTGGCATGTTTCTCGAGTACATCCTACTTGTTTTAAGCCAGTCTGTCACACTTAGCAAGTTCAACCCTTCCCCTCTTTTCCTCCACTCACCTCATTTAAAGTGTAGTAGTAGTAGTAGTAGTAGTAGTAGTAGTAGTAGTATGGACACCTTTGCTTTTCTTCTTGTGCCTTCACCTTTGCTGAAGGTTTACCAATGAGAACTCGTGAATAATTGAATATCTCATGTGTAAACTTTAAGTGATGCCTCAGGCCATCTTTCGAGGCCAAACTATACAAACACCGACTTAGTTGATTTTTATTTCTAACGGTGCTCTTTTAGACGAAGTTAACTGTTGACCAAAAATCGACATGGTTTGATTTCATGGTTTTCATAGTGCTATACACTCGAAACAAAGGGAGACGTAAAATAGGAATTTTGGATCACCTTCTACTTGTAATTAGACAATTTTTCTCAAACTACACATGGTATGAATTGATTTCTTTTTTTAGTTTACAGAGATTATGTTTGTCAATCACCAGACTGGAGATCATGTTTACTTCAAACGGCGAGTGAATCAAGTTATCGTGGCCCATGTCACTATGGGAAAATGCTACGGCCTAAGGAGTGGGGACATGACAAGGTCGAATGCAGCTTTCTCTTACCAACTGTTGGTCGGTGATAACTCATTTTACCCGGGGGTTTTTCATCTCTGGGTTCACAGAAAATTGCCACAAGGACTGTGACTCCTGATTTGGAGACAGCGACTCGTTATATTTTCACTCATCAGCTTCTCAGGATAACCTTGGGAGCGTGGCATTTCACACTAATGGTCATGACAAACTTGATAAGAGACTTACTAGTGTTGGCCTGCGTTAAGAGTAGCATGGACAGTAACGGAGCCTTACATGAGGATGATATTTTAATATTGGGGATTTTGAGTCGCTTCAAAAGAGTAAATAGCTTTGAAGACCGTTTCTCCTCCTACAGTCGTTTTTGTAAACCTTATCATGTAATTATGTCAGCATCTATATGAATTCTTTTCATAAAATGACCAGAGAGAGGCAAGTCAGTTGAAAACATCTTCTTAGTGAATAAACGTAAGTCGTGAGCAAAGCAAGCATACAACTGTAACTTCAGAAATAAAAGTAAAGGCTAATTTTTCATCTCTAGTGAATACATATTTCGCAGTGAGTTAATTATTTCTCTGAAAAAAATACAAGGAAGGTTTTAAGTACTGAGTTTCATCATCATCATCATATTTTATTTGCCTTATTTACACAATACAAAAAATTTATTTACAGCGGTTATAGCTAGAAGGCGAGGAGACTCAGGAAGCCACCGGGCTTATGGGAGAGCCACCTCACTTACATTAATAAATAAAGTAGAGAAAAAGTGCTGCGAATGTGCGGCTAGGCCAATTCAAGGATTATTTAAGTAAAAACTCTTGCATTTTCGTCTTAAAACTAAGAAGGTTTGACGAACGAGTGACTGAAACAGGAAGAGAGTTCCAAATTTTAGGACCTTGGTGAAGAATTATAAATTGCTTGAGATTTGTGCGGCACAAATGCGTTCGATAACTACTGGCTGTTCTGGTACCATAGTTGTGAATTTGGCTATTCGTTACAAAAAGATTGAGAAGCAATGGAGGCAATAAGTTATTTCTATAATAAAACATGAATTTGGCGGTTTCAAAAGTATTGACTTGGAAAATATCTAAAATTCCTAGTTTGGAGAATAAAGGAGCGGAATGGACTCAATAGTCTGAGTTGGTGATAGCCCGCACAGCTCGCTTTTGCAAGTAATAAATTCTATTTAAGTTAGATGCGTATGTGGACGACCAGGCACAGTTACAATAGACGATATAAGGATAAATTAAGGTGTAGTACAAAGTGAGCTTGGTTGTAGAGGATAGGAAAAAGCGAGACCTGACTATAATACCTATTAATTTAGCGATTTGTTTACATACATAGCTGATATGGTGAACTTGAACTTTGAACTTTATTTTTATTTAGACACGGTAAATCTATCAGATAAAATAATAATATTATTACAATCTATTATTACAGTTACAATCTATTTTAATCTATATAAACATGATCTAAAATTTAAAAGTAAAATAGAAAAAAAATAAGGAAATTCTGCTTTACATAGATGCCGTGTGTGTTTTGTCGATTCAGAGGAAGAAATTGCGACAACCATTTCGGAAGGATTGAAGTGATTTTGCTTGCCGCAATTCAGGGGACAAGCTATTCCATATAACCGCACCGTTATAGCTAAAGCTATTTTTTAGGAAATTGGTGCGAGGCAATGGAACAGCTAGTTTGTTTTCAGAGTTCCTTAGATTATATGGAGGATCATATTTAGTGAAAAGAGAACCAAGATAGTCGGGCGCAAGACCATGTATAGATTTATAGACCATGGTGGCCACTTGTATTTGTCGCTGAGTATCTAACCGTCTCCAGTTAAGTTGCACAAAAAGAGGATCAGCGCTTGTGTCATAACTGGAGAAGGTCAGTTGGTGTTTCCAAGTGAGATGATCATCAATATAGACCCCAAGGAATTTAGTTATGTTAGATTGTTGTAGGGGTTTACCTCCAAAGGAGAGAGAAATGCTGGAGTTAAATTTCTTCTGTCTGGGTTTAAAAATTACGTAGTTAGTTTTCCTTATATTAACTGAGAGCTTATTGCATTTTAGCCAGACATCAATATTTTGGAGTTCATCATTAAGTACGGATTCTAAGCAATTTGGGTTTGAGCGAGAATAAAAGATACTGGTGTCATCAGCGAAAAGCAGAGGGTCTGTTAATTCAGAGGCATTAGGGAGGTCATTTATGTATAGAATGAACAATAGAGGGCCTAAAATCGAACCTTGAGGGACACCACACTTGATAGTTTGCATAGGAGAGCAAGCTTGATTGAATTGGGCAAATTGCTGGCGGCAAGAAAAGTAGCTTTTGAACCACTGCAGAGCCACGTCACGGATACCATAGTGCTCTAATTTTGCAAACAAGATATGATGGTCGAGAGTGTCAAATGCTTTGGAAAGATCTAGGAACTAGGAGTTTCTCTCAGGGGAGCATTACAAAGTAGTTTCTTCTTATTAAAATAACATATCAGGTTAACGGGTCACCTTATAGCGGTGTAAATATCATAGTAGCGACATAATTATAATGTTCTCCGCCACAATGATTTAAGGGAAAACAAGTACCTGATGAGATCGAGTCCGTAAGCTCTCTCTTTTTTGTGAGCCAGTTCAGCTGTTCAACGAGGTTTGAACGCCACCAAATTTGCACAAGTATGGAATAACTTAACAAACAATGCCAAGAAGTGTCGCTGTCATCCACAAAAGCTCAGCTCTGAGAGATCGAAAAATCAGTAAACTAGTTAGTTAGCTAGTTTTCTACGGTAAAAGTCATCATTTAGCTCAACATTGGGGACATTTTTTTCACATTTTTAAACATGGTGTTATTGATCCTCGTCCTTCTTACCATGAGTGTGGAACAAAGAAATAACCTGGGTTCCTATGATAGGGAGACGTGGTGGACACACGAATGGCGCGCTGGTTTCCAGGTTGACATTGTTTGATTTAAGTATCTTAACCTTACCCCTATGCATCCTACATCTCCAAAGTAATTGTCCTGAAACAAGACAAAAAGAAATTGAAAACATGGTATATTTTGAGCTGGGTCGTCGATAAAAGGACCGATGCTAAACTTTTGTCAAGTGTATCACCTGGCGAGCGGCCAAGTCTTTTTCGCGAACAAGAATTCACTTAGTTCACCATTGTCTCATTGTTAAGTTCAAGGTCAATTTTGTGGTTGACCGACTCTCTTGATGAGGTATATCTCGTTGCAGATAAAACCGTGTCCGTTTATTGCTCAATTCCAAAGAACAAATTTTTCTTTGGTGAACTGACGGTATCCTGTCGATGGCCTTTTGGCCGAAGTCGGCCGTTTCGACAGTGAATTGACTGACGGTGTAAGGATGTTCTTCTTAACTTTATTAGTTTATTTATTTATATTATCCTGTTTTTTTTCGTGTGGTCCCGGATTCTTTTCTTTCATTCCGATATGTTCCAAACTATTTCTGTGTTTCAAAAATATAACTTTATTGCGTTCAGCCACGTTGAAGTAAATCCAGAACTACACATTATCAATTGTTCCAGCCCTTTTAAGAGCTTCCTTTGAGTACAAGGCCGGGATTTAATCGTTGTAAAAGAACTTGTAGATATCATCAATCCACACAGGATATGGTGGACTGGCAGATCATATCTTTGTGTCTGGAATATCTTTGTTTGTGATCTCTTGGCCTTGAATTTTCCAAAAAGACTGGAGGTCAGCAAATGTAGCCACATATCTGTCCAATTTCCAATTTCTGAAAGGCAGCTGAAATTGCTTGAGTTTGACAAACATCTGAGGAGCCCAAAGAAAACAAAAAACCCAACAAAAAGCCTGATATAAAACTGGCTGGGAATGCTCTCAAGGAGAAGAGGAAATTCTGACAGGAGCATTTGTATCTGCTCTTTACTTAGTTCCCTAAATGATGCCAGAGTCACTGATGATACAAGGCTCAATTCTGCTGAATCTTCATTCTTTAAATATTCCACTGGATTTGGCAAATCAAGTTTTAACATTTCTTTGGGTTCCTTGTGCTGGGCTTCTACCCTGCAAACAAAATAACAGCTTTCAGGAAATCCAGGAAGATGGAAAGTGATCAATCAGCATATGTTTAAAAGACAATAGATTTGACTGAGTTGGGTAAAGCATGAGCATTAACATCATTCCCATATTTCTATTTGTTTTACAAAAGAAACAAACTTGTTTGTTCAATGTCATCCCAGAGAGCGCTGAAAAGTCCACATGCGAAACTGTGAACCTTCTTGACAGAAAATAGATTAATAACATATGTTCCCCTCTGCGGCAAATATTCCATGGGTAATTAAAACAATAGCCTCCACTTCAAGCTATGGTTCACCCACATATACACACTCATGCTTTTTACCAATATCACGTTTCACATAGCAGGTTTCATAAGGTAATTTGTGGAACTATCATCAGCAATGAACCCAACCAGCAATGTTGTCTTCACTTTTAAACTTGTCTAGTGTTGGAAATGGCTTGTTATTAATTATCGCCAACTATGTATTTTATATTTATACCAAGTATTTCGGTTGAAATACCATCAATCGTAAAGTATAAGAATAAAAGAAGACTAATATATCGTTCCTTTAATAAATGTGAAAACAGCAACCCTCAACTTTGACAGTTAATTGTTACTCATACGTTTAGCATACCTCTCTAACCAGACGTGAACGCAGTATTCAGCACATTCTATGGCCGAGCTAGTAACCAATTGAAATAAAATCTTATCCATGAAAGGAGAGATGGCTGATAGAGCAGTATCCTCTTCAGTTAGAATACCACAAGCAGCAAGTCTCCACTCCAACGACCTAACAGCGACTGTGTTTAAGTGCTTATAAAATGGCAGCATCCTTTTCAAGCTCTTGGTATCACATTTAGTTTTACCTATAACTCCAACAATTTCAGAAATTACAAACTGTTGCAGATTTGGACGACTAACTGCAGCATCTAATAGCACTTTTATCGATAGCTTGTATTCACCTAGACTGTCCGCCATTTCAAGTACATTGCTCACCGCTGGTTTCCTTGCTCGCGTTACAATTCTAAGGAAATAACCAATCAACGACGCGAATCTTGTGGCGTCCTCAAGTTTGAATTATGGCGGACACGAAGGAGAGTTTCGCTTCCTCAAAAAAAGCTTGTAGTTCAAGTGGTGGGTCTTTTTATCGTGAAAATTTAAAATTTGAAGAGATAAAGGATCACTTTAATATCCTTTACAATTTCTTTCAGATCTTATGCGAGAAAAGCTAGAAAAATGGCGTCGAATGAAAGGAAGGTCTTCCTTTTTTAGTGCCAAGACTGTCCACAATCGTTCCAGATCAGCTGTTTCGTTCGACATAAATAAGGACGCTAACAGTCTCCAGAAAAGGTTTTTATTCATTATCTTGGAATATAATTACATTAATTAGTTTTGATGGAAACTTAGGCTTGGTTGCAATTGTGGTGTAAGTAGTATTTAATCACTGCAGATCAAGAATGACCAGCGCACGTCACTGGTCATGAATCAAAGCTCTATAAAAGCTTTCAGGTGCCAGCTGTTAACTCAGAGGCAATACTGCACGCTCCATTTTCGGTCGCATTGCAAGCAATGTATGCGATTAAGAATGGTCTGCAAGCATGATATTTCTTCACTGAATTCTGTAATACTCGGCCCTGTGTATTCGATGATCAAAAATTACATGCTGTACCGTTATATGCCATGCCATGCGATGCCCTAAGAGTACTTTGTAATTGTTGATGTTGGTTAACCTTATGGCATGCATCCGTGGAGGAAAGATGTATGTTTGATCTGTCCCTTTATTTAGCTTAAGGTAAGGGCAGGATTAACCTTAAACTTTACTTTCTGGCACATTCTGATGTCAATGGTTTTCCGTTTTTTTTTTATTATCTGCCACCTCTAGAGAAATGAAAGAGTCAAGGATACTTCAAAAACAGCCAGAAAGTGTACGTTAAGAGTCATTTTAAAATGAAATTTCAATTGATAACGAATATTGGTAAGAGATCTTTGTGCTTTATTAATGGGAGGTCCTTACCGTTGATTTGTTTATACGAAGACTAGTAAAATCTCACTACAGGCTACAGAAAGATACAAGAGAATCTCTGACCAAGCATGTAAGTTAACTGGTGAACAGAGACGAAGAAAGGCTTTGAATATTGTTCAAAGGAAAGCACTCCTTGAAAATGCTAGGACCCTGAAGACAGCCACTTCAAAAGAGACACCTGAAAAGCTTAAAACATATAAGGACAAGACTCTCAGTATGAGGTATACGATGTGAAAGTTAGATGATTTACACACATGCACAATGTAGCGCTCTTTTTCCAAGTAGAATTGTGGCTTTTAATATTGATTGAGAATTTGTTATGGTAAGCTATCATATAAAAATGAATGAAAAGGTATAATATTTTTTTTAAGAGAAAGGCTTGAACTCTGGAGAACTGAAAAGGGGTAAATATGTTTCTGTTATCATTTCTTTTTGCCTTTGGCAGTGACCACCAAAATATTCTGTTTTTGTACCTAATACTAATAAAATTTTTAATGAGATTTTAATTCCAGTTGTTCTCCAATACAAAGGCAGCACAACCCAGACAAAGCTGCAGTGAAATCTAAATCATGTGGGAAAAGACTCAGTAGGATGTCAGCTTGTATGAAAGAAAATCTGTATAACTACCACAGACTGTAAGTTACACTCAGGACATACTCATTAATTTTTTCTAAGTTTCAGGAGTGAAAAAACACACATTTTCTTTGTACCATATAATCACATTTTTAAGGAGGTGATGTGAATTAATAATGGTATTGACTGGAAATTGAAATTCTTTTACCTGTTTACAAAGAAACATGTGGCAGTTAACTTGGTGGGATATTTATTAAAATAAATTTCATTAAGATTTTATTTCATTAATAAATATTGTTTAATTTCACAAAAGGAATATACAGACCTACACTGTATTTTGTTTGTGTTAATTTACAAATTACACAGTTTGGTGATTAGTTTATTTTTTGCCAATTTTTGGAATAAAAATTTGAGTAGCAGGTAATTAAAAAATATGAAACTTTTAATGAAACATATTTATTCTGCTCATTTTTCAGGGAGCACACTAAAGAAGTAGTAACTCCTGCCTCCACAAAGCTACCATTTAAGCCTAGGGTAAAATCAACCTCTGCCCTTCAATCTCATCACCAACCTTCCATAGTACAATCAAATGGTGCACAGAAATCAAAGCTAATCCAATGTGAATTAACACCACAGTCTATTTTGCCCAATAATCCTGAAGTAAAGTCATACAAAAACAAGGCTCTTGATATAAGGTATGAGTACACCCATCCACCCTTGAGAACCCACAAGAGACTAGGGACTGCTCTTAATTATACAAGACAATAACTTAATGGTCATGTGTACATACATAAAGCAATAATTTTGAAAGCTGAAAAATGTGACATGTTGTCCACAGTGTTCCAAAGACTTCTGCCCTTAATATAAACAGAGAAATAAACTGGTCACACATTCATACACCATAACTGGGTTACCTGCATCAAAATCATTTGACTTTCAAATGTTTGATCAGTGCTGTAAGTCACATATCATTAATGCTCTATTATTTGAAAATTAAGAGATTCTTTTTGTCTCATTTATCTATAAGGGAACGATTGGACCTTTGGCTTGCTGAAAAAGGGTGAGTGTTGAGCTAGCATAACTATATAGTTCCCAAGCTTTTACAGTCTACTTCTGCTGAGTGTTCAGTAAGGACATAATAAGATTCCCACTTATAAAACTGACATAAATCCCTGCAGTGTAGGGAAATACACCCAACCCACTTGTATGTTTCTTCGTTCATGTTCAATTTAAATCAATTTAAAATTCTAGTAAAAAAGATAAACGTTAAATAGATACCATAATGATTCTATTAGTGCCCTCATTCCAATAAGTGCCCCCTCTTTGATAATGACCCCCCCCCCCTTCCCCCCTAACATTTGGTTTTTATTAATAAGCACCCATATTAAGTAAGTACTCCTATTCCTAAAAGCACCCATATACCAATAAGCACACCTATGCTGTTTTGGTAATAGCACCACATTGAGATCAACCATGTGTCATAGTAATTGCTCATCAGGGAAACAGTAATCTATGTCTCCTTTGTTCTACTGTTGTGTCCATCTGAGTGCACACTTCCTTCAAACAAGTGATCTTAACCTTTTTTGAGGATTACTTCTTGGCTGATCATTTTAACCAAGAAGGATCTAGGGATAACAAGTCCATTTTCCAGTCTTCTTGATCTTTTTTTAGATAAAAGTCAAAGTTTTGTTCCTCACATTTTTCTGTTTCTTAAGAAAGAAATAAGTGCCCTATCTCCAATAAGTGCCTTGGTTCAAATAAGTGCCCTCCCATGATATACAAAAAGGGAAAAAAGCTCCCTGGGTGCTAAATCAAATAATTACGGTAAGCTGGTTTACCTATGTCTTGTGGTGGGTTTGTTATAAAATCTCTCCAATGAAACTCTTGCATGTCATTTGTGCTGATAATAGTTTTCTAATCTAGATTGAATTATTCAGCTTAAGTTGGCTGAAAGTAGGTTATTTAAATGAAATTATAGACTTAGTTCACATAGTTCCTCAATTGTTAGTTTTTTTCTGTCACAGAAAAACACCAAAGTACAGGACACCAGCTGTGCCGCAACATTCCAAAAGTGTTCAAAGGAGAAATTTGACGGAAAAAAAGAGACTTTCCTTTAATGGGAGAGAGGAAACTGTTTGTGTAATGGACAAAATTGGATGTGCTATTTCACTTGATGAAAAGGAAAATGTTGAAGAAAAACTGAAAGAATGTTTGCAACAGTTAGAATTGGTAAGCTAGGGATCAATGTGCTGTGACTTAAAGCACGGTAACTGAGGCAAATATGCATGGCAAAAAAGGGACTCTGATTTCCCTCACTTTTCATACAACCTTTAAATCAAAGCCAAAGAAAAAGTGTAAAATGTAAAACTCTCTTGTTCAAAATTAATTGGTTCCACTCTTTTTCCATTTGCTTAACACCAAGTGTTCAATCTTTCTATCAGTTACAAAAGACTAATTGCTAAATAACAGAAAACCTATCAAGAACTAGTCAGAGTGAAAATTCTTATTAAAAGTGGCTCAAAAGACCTCTTAACTCTCCTCAGTTATTGAGAAGTACTAGATAATTTCCAAGTTTGTATTTTTTCAGAATGAATATAATGCAGATGATGTAAGGTCCAAGCTCGATTTGTACAAATCCGCATGTCCACATATCTGTCACATGGCAAACTACTGGTTGTGCCGGGCAAAGATTGCTCAACATCAGAAAGACTTCAATAGAGTGGTGTGCTTACTGGAGCAAGCTTTTGTCTTCAAGGCACAGGTTATAGGCTGAGATTGAAACAAGCTCCATCTTCATTTTTTCAGATTATTTTTCAGATTATTTTTCAGATTATTTTTCAGATTATTTTTATGAAGTTCGGTAAAGTTGGTTTGCTTTTGTTTCACTTCCTTGTCATCTGCCTTTGTTACATTTTTCTTCAAGGGAGGTACTATTTACCAGGGTAATTGTTACTTATTATGGTTTTTTAACTTCTTTCTTCTTAGCCAGATTCAGTCCTGAAGGATGCAGTGTGCACTTTTGTGAATTTCATAAAGGAAAATGAACCAAAAGGTATGCCTTCTATGTTAAGGACACTTGGTCTTGTCAAAATAAAAAATGATTTTTATCAAAACCATTTATATCATTTGTTATTTTTAGATGCAGACATACATTTTGTAGATAAGATCTGCTTGTCATTACCAGATGAATCTCCTCCAAGTGAAACTAAGATTGATATGAATGACATTTCATCAGAGGAGCTGAACTCTTCCATCATAAAGTTCTGCCTAATGGAGGTCACACCCCACAGAAAAAAGTGAGAAATTGAAGGCATAATTAACTTAATTAACACTTTCAGCAGTTACTTAATCTTAAGACTGTCTTTCAGATATGAACACAATGCTAACCAATTCAAGCAATGACCCCACCTCCTCATTGTTCCATGTTAAGACATTGAGATAATGGTTTACATAATTAGATGTACAATAATCTCATGAAGGCCATGAAATTTGTGCTTTTCAGGTTTAAGACAACATTTGGTAAACGGATATTAACACCAGTGCGTAGGTCTGTGCGGTTAGAGCGGGCTAGTGTCCAGTATTCTTCAGTTGTCCAGGAACATGGTTTGACTGTGAGGACATTGGAAGAGCTTCCTGAAGACATTCAACAGGATTTGTTGTTCAAACCCAACTTTTCTGTTCAAGCTGAGCTCAACGAGGTCTGGAATAAGCTTCAGCTGGACTCAGACTGGTAAATGCCACAAAACTTCCATCACAGCCTCACATTAAAGAAAGAAAGTATAATTTATTTACATTACTTTTTCATCAGCTCTAGATGGCTTCTTGATTTTTATTTTAACCTAGTTGTAAATAACTTAAAATCTCAAAGAAACTAATAGGTTTGGAGTGCTAAAGAAGTGACTTTGTATTAGCTACCTTTATGAACCTGACCAAATCTGAGCACATAAGCCTTGTAGAGAGGGAATGCTTGTAATATGGTAAATGTAAATGTAGATGTAAGACTTGACAAGTTTTAGTACATGTATAACATTAAAGTTCTACCTGGTCTCAGTAAGTTTACAAAATTTCACGGAATAACACAGACTTTTTAGTACTTAAAGAACATTGAAGCAATTTTTATTACAAGAGTTATGCATCCAAAGATAATTTAGTCTTCAAGTAAGAGCAGTGTGGATGATAGAATGAAAGAGATGTTGTTTGAATACCTGGGTTGTTTTAGACAGATGTGGTCTCATCGAACTAAACAATCACTTTATTAAAGTAACAATTTTCTTTAACTTTCAGAGACGTTTTGCCTCTGGACTAGATTTAAAACTGTAGGAACAAAGTTAAATAAAAAATTGAATGAAAAAATTTTACCAAATTGGAGAAACCAAGGAGGACAAGTTAGTCACTTTTTTGCTGGGTACATGCTGCAGGCCTCTCAGAACCATCATTCACATTTTTTTTAACTGAGAATCTCATTTTTTAAATCCCTACTTGAAGAATTTCCTTTCGCCCAAATCCCCAATTCCTGAAAATTTACAATCCTATTCAAGTAACTTGAAAATGCCACCTCACCCTGAGGCTAACCACCACTAACCTACTCTTAGTAAGAACCCCCCCCTTCCTTTCACTTTAAACCTGATTTATGGGAATGTTTTTCAGCAAGAACAAGGTCTGATGAAAATAAAGTGCCGCCAAATTAACAATTTTTTTCCTTTTTTGTAAATGTGACGTTACAAGGCCTTGATAACATGGGGACGAACTTGTGGGGTTGAGTTGCAAAACCTCCTCATACCTAAACTACACCCTCGTGACTGGGGACGAGTTTGTATCTGCGTTAAGTACGGTATGATGTGGCCTACATAGAGTACATGACAAGGAAACGGAATGGCGGACCTCGTGCATCCATTTTTTATCATATTTTAAAAGTAAATTTACGATCAAACAGCGATCTGTTTTCTTTGGAGCCATGCTCAGATCCAAGGTGTTTGTCAAGAAGACACGAAAGGGAGGAGTAATGAAGATAGTTCGTGAACATTACTTACGAGATGATGTATGGTGCAGAGCAAGTCACTGTAGAAACTGCGCTCAGACAGATCAAAATTTACTGGATTCATCGCCTCATAACTCCTCTAAACTGTACACATTTCCACATTATTTACTGCCTGATACAAATGTTGTGTTACATCAGATAGACGTTTTAGAAGATCCAGTGTTCACAAATGTAATACTTCTACAAACTGTCTTGCAAGAGGTGAGTTCTTAGTGAGTTTTTCAGACAAGTTCCTAAACTGAATTCAGCTGTGTCATGACGATCCAGAGGCCCGAACTTAATAGAAAGCTCAGAGATGCGCCCTGAACCTTTCTTTTTTAAGACGCTGTCACAACATTCTGAATTTATTTGATCCTAGTTGTTATTCAACTGTTTTCATGACGACATGAAAAGCACATTGGCAATCACTTTTGTAACATTTATTTATTCATGTGGTAATTTTGACTTTTATACTTCCTCAGAAATGTTATACAGGTATTACAAAAAAAAAAAGAATTACAGATTACTACTATTTGACATTAGTTTGCAACAATTTGGACGTGAATTTAATTTTCAGCAAAGAGTACACTAAAATCGTTGTCATTAATCCTTTAATTTGTTTGATTTAATTCATGATCATTTTCATGTTTTTCATGGATCACATTCCATAATTCTTTATTACTCTTTTGCCATATTCGGATCAACTCTTGTTAAGACAAGTATCTCCAATCACTTTCAGGTGCAGCATCTCAATGCCTCAGTTTACAAGAGAATCAGGGAATTGATATCCAGTAAACAAAGAAAATTTTTCGTTTTTTCAAATGAGCACCATAGGTAAGTGTGCATCTATTTGGAACCCTACAGATCATTCTTTGCATGATAGCGAAAAAATTGTTATCCTATCAAAGCTAGGATTTACCTTCAGAATAATTGTGCATTTCATAACTTGTAATTCTTGTTTTGGCTCTTAAGAGAAACATATGTTGAGAGAAGAAAGGAAGAATCTCCAAATGACAGAAATGACCGAGCAATAAGAGTGGCAGCAAGGTATTGGTCAGATCCAACAGGAAATGACATCTAAATTACCTCTAAGTTTTGTAGTTAGAAGTAAATTGCAATGTTTGTGTGTGATATTTAAAGCTTGGTTATTTTTCTAAACCTTTTTTAGAAAACTCACAGAGCTTCAAATTGTTTTGAAATAAAAAGCATTCTGCTTTTGTCATCATTGCATGTCTTTGGTAATGTCACTATTAACTACCAATCTCCTTATTGAATTTCATTGTCAATTGGCATAGTGGAAAACCAGGTAAAGCCTAGGTTTTGTTTTTAATTTCCTTTTTTTCGGAGAGTAGCCTACTAGGTGGAATATTTAATACACATTATTTTCAGATTTCATTTTGCTGATTTCTTTCAGCTGGTATGATGAGCATTTAAAGGAATGTGAAGGAGGAAATAATGAAGATCTAAGAATTAGGGTTGTTCTTCTCACAAATGACAGAGCAAACAAAGAAAAGGCAAAGAATGAGGGAATCATTTGTTTTACAGGTATAATCAACATTTTCCTCTTATTACTCTGGGAACTTTTTCCCTCACTAACATCTATCTAAATCAAATCTAAATCATCAAGTATTTAATTACTAATGACCAATATAATAGTTGTACATTGGTTAGCATGTTCATGACAATTTTTGGAATCTAATTGTGTATCGGTATTCACAGCTCAAGAGTATGTTGAAAGTCTAGAAGGGAATGAAGGTTTAGCTGACCGATTGGCACTCTCCTGTAACACACAGCGTGATGAGGTACAACAGTCATCTGCATGAGACATAGTTTGAAGCTACACTGGTTTGCAGATTTAATGAATGTAACCGAAGAAGTTACAATTCATAGACCCAACGTTTCGACACTCCTGTCTAGTGCCTTCATCAGGGGTGATCTAAACGCTGCAACAAGAGGTCCTTTTATATGACCACTAGCGGCCTTTTTTTCTGACGAGGTGTAAATAGGCGTCAGGAAGCAGACCGCCATCGTCACGATTTAAAGGAGCGTGGGCGTTACCACCAGCGCCTTTGTTTGGAGGCTTGGCACATTAATATGAATTGTAACTTCTTCGGTTACATTCATTAAATCTGCAAACCAGTGTAGCTTCAAACTATGTCTGATTGTCCACCTGGTTGCCATGTGAACTTTAATATAAGTCATCTGCATGTTTATAACTTTGAATTTTTCAGTGCTTCATCATATTTGAATGTCCAACTGAGAGTGGTATTTACTATGTTACGACATTTGGTCATGAAATATACTTGAAAGTCAAAGTTGTTTCTTTTATTTGTATTGTTGAAATTAAATTCCTCTGTAGATAGATGACAAGACAAGCAGGAAGTGGGTTTACCCAGAACATCTACCTATGGCTAAAATACAGGCTGGACTAAAAAGTGGCAAGTATGTACAGGTGATTACTGGTCTCAGTTATTGTACTATTGTCCTTAGAATGTGTTCAAAATGATAGTAAAACTTTGTTGAATACTCTAAAGTTTTCTTCTTTCCTTCCTTCTTCTTTATATTCAAGGGTGCTTTTCATAGGAGCAGGTAAGCACAGTCTGAATGTTTATTGTTACTTGTCAGATATTTGTATTCTGTTGGATGACATTTATACTTGCCTTTTCTGTAGTTTGATAATTTTTTTTGTAGAATATTGAAGAAAATTCATGCTTTAGTGATAATTGCTACAACTTTTATTCAGCTAAGTGTTTTTGCACCCCTCCCATTTGTACAATCCAAAAGTCTGTTCTACCATTTTTTGCATACTTAGCAATTTTCTGAGTAAAATTCTCACAATAGATTCAATATGACAAGGGGTCCTTTACAATGAGAAAGGGCATAAAAGGAGGAAATATTTCTCCCATGAAACAAAGAGTTTTTTGGTTACAAAAATCATCTAGACAATCCTTTATGACATGATATGTTCCAAGCAATAATTCACCCTATGCAACAAAAAGAGTTGATTTTTGAAACAAATTCTGTAGTTTTAAACTTTTCAAAGCTTCTTGTGTTATTGTTAACTTTTTAACTTCAAATCAACAGAGAAAACTTCACTGAGGCTTATGTATTTGTCCATGATGGAGACAAGCAGGTATAAATTTGTATAATAAGTAATGATGTGACTTAACATGTAAACATTTGACATGTACATATCATACTTGACTGTGTTACAAATAAATAATTTCTCTTCCTCTAGAGTAGTAATAATTGTGTTATCAGCACAAATTTAATTAATGAAGAGTTCACATTCTGAACTTAACATAGGGGGTCATTAAAAATGATATTGTACAGTACAAGTACTTGTCAGAAATCACACTTAACCTAGCAATGAATTTGTTTTTCCTGTGGACAGATATTTATTCAAGGACTTGTAAATCTCAACCGAGCAGTACATGAAGACATTGTTGCTGTGGAGATTCTTCCAAAGAAAGAATGGACTTGTCCATCATCATTAGTAACAGCAGCATCACCAGCTGAACATGACTCAGATGATGACAATGAAGAAAGCAACAGTGATAAAATGGTACACGTGTTTACTATTTTTTGACATTTAAGTGCAAACAAATGGCAACTTAATTAATTTACAGGATAGGAGAGTATATCCCACTAGTTCAAAATTAAGAGAATGAAGATTCTTCAAAAACAACAAATTCCTCATGCCTATTGCTTGAATCAAGAGACTCAAGAATACTAGTGCTCAGTCTACTTCTAGAAGTATAGATGTTATCATTTGTTGAGCTTGAAAATCTCTATCAATTTTCTAAACATAGGGTATGCACAATTTCCAACATTGTGCACATAAGCATGCTGATAAGTAAAAGTTGCAGTTCATTGTCACACATTGCAGTCTTTATTGTGAGAGTGTATCTTGGTATCAACTTACTTTACCTTTCCTCCTCATTGGGCTGATGGTGTAACACTACGAGCTATCAAGCTGACATATTGAAAATGCATCAAGTGTTTCTTTCTTTTTAGATTGAATCAAAGAAAGAACTGGGAACAAAAAAAGTGTTGTCAGGAAAGGTATGTAAATTATGTTTACAACATAGTAAGAGAGATGGTAAAATATGAGCTTGGTTATGAAAGAATTTTCAAACAATTTTTGTTAGGCAGGCTTAAAAAGAAGTAGTCTGAGTGATGTTCTACAACAATAAATATGATGATATTATTCTTTATTCTACCTTTGAGCTAAACAGGTTGCCATTTCTTAACTCTATTTACACATATACATGTTGCTTGCAAAATTGCATATCATAGCAGTATGCACAATGCCTCAAGTGTCACATATGAACCTTGTAATGGCCTACCTCACCACTGTAACTTGGTGATATAGCACTGTCATGAGAAATTTGTAGGTCTGAGATCTAATTCCTCGTGTGTGACTCAAGATGTTTCTTTGTTCCACACTTTTAGTAAAAACAAATTAACTTTTTCCTTAAATATAGCTCCTTTTTGTAGGTCAAAGCTATTGAGCTGGATATGGTTTGCAGATCAATTTTTATCTTTTTCATCATCACAGGTTGTTGGTGTTATTAAAAGAAACTGGCGGCCATACTGTGGAGTGCTGTCCAAGTCTGCAAAGTCTCAAGTAAAGATAAAATCCCTATCTTTCTTTAATGTAATCTTCCAAATTACATTTTAAATGTTAATGAGAAAAATTTCATATATCACTCCTCATTAGAGGTATCTTCTTCATGAATTGTATCAGCAGATATTACAGGATATGTTGTGAATTGTAATAAAGGAAACTAATAGTGAAGAATAAAGTAGAACACGTTCTACATGTAAGGAGAAAACAGAAATTTTGACTATGGTCAGTTTAGACTATTCTACAATGGAGTAGAACAATGGCACCACACTGAATGTGATTATGATCATTGCCCTCCTTGTCATTTCAAAGAGCACAAGACACTTGTTTGTGGCAGCAGAGAGAAGAATCCCCAGAGTTGTCATAGAAACACGCCAGGCATCATCACTTGAGGGGCAAAGGATTGTGGTTAGCATTGATTCGTGGCCTCAGCATTCAAAATACCCTGTGGTGAGCAATATTGCGTTTACACTTTTCTATGTAGCATGGACAAGTAGTTTTGTGAGGTAGACATTGCCAACAGCGTATCAGTGTGGATTGAAGGCTGTACGTTGACTGTCTATTTCTTGGATTCCTTATTCATGATATTTTAACCTATATCGCGATTTTTGTTTCGTCTATAGGTTCCTCTTCCAACCTTTAATTACAAATTTTCACCATTCGTTTGCTGGGGAATCAAAACTAATAATATGGGAGTAACCAACTTCTTTAGAGGGGTACAGAAAGGACAGCGATAAGGATTAGCAATTTTCCGAGTGACATCGCAAAATCCAGTGTCCTAATAAGTCTATTATGATTCTTCTTTTTCATTATTGTGGAATGAAGGGACATTTTGTCCGAAAACTTGGTACCATTGGTGACAAAGAAACAGAAAATGAGGTTCTGTTATTGGAGAGAGATGTTCCCCACTTGCCCTTTTCAGCAGCGGTACTGAAAGATCTTCCCGCCATGCCCTGGTCAATCACAGACGAGGTATGAAATAGTGATTAAGTAAATACGTATATGCGCGTACTCTTAAATTCCGGCCATATCTTGCCTTAGGGACAGTATAGTGTGAATGAAGTTGCTCAGTTGATTCTTGCGATGTATTAGCACGTTTTCGTGAAATTTAATATCTGTACCATATAAGATGAGCATGAAGTATCCTGGGGAAGAAAGTACTAGGAAAATGTGTTTTAACTTCAGCCGGAAAATGTTTATTTTTGTGTGCCGGTCATTGCAGGATGTAAAGAGTCGTTTGGACTTGCGGCTCCTAGCTGTGTGTAGCATTGATCCTCCGGGGTGCACAGACATAGATGACGCATTGCACTGGAGATTGCTGCCAAACGGAAACTACGAGGTACGCGAAAAAAGACGATTATTAACAGGGTTGGTATGTTATTCTCGTTATTCTCAACTACGTGTATAATGTTTAGAATATCTGTTTGACTATTTTTAACTTCAAATACTTCGAGAAAAGTTCAGCGTTGAAATTATCCCCTCACCAACCTTGAATTATCTTGTTGCATGATCATGGTCAGTCCGACTGTCTTTATTATTATTCATCAGGTTGGTGTACATATAGCAGATGTCACGCACTTTATCAGACCAGGTACAGCTCTGGATGCTGAGGCAGCTAATAGAGGAACTACAGTCTATCTCACAGATAAGGTGATTTACAGCTGCATAATTTATGTGATGCAGGCACTTTAAAAGATTTCGTGACACTAATAAGACACCACTCTTAGGCGGCAAAAGGAATTTTCAAGACGCTATTTGTTTCATTCCAAATTTCAGCTTTGGAGCACAATAAAGGGACGGAACGTGCAAGTCAGTCCAGTGGGCGTGTTTAGCATGGAGCTCGTTTCTGCCTTATGTATTCATATAGATATTTTTTTAAACTGTCTACCTTACTCTCGGAGGAGCTCTCTCCTTCTGACCATTGGTACAAATGGGTCTTATTGAAGTCTTAAGAAACTTTTGCGGGATAATCTTTGAATTGAGACTATAAATTCCATCCCTAAAGTTACTATCTGGGAGTTGAAATCTTGCGTAATTGTTGGTATTGACTTGTTTTAATGTTTATCACACAGCGTATTGACATGGTACCAGCACTCCTGAGTTCAGACTTGTGTTCACTGAGATCTAATGTGGACAGGTTAGTAAGGCTTATATACACATTTTTTTGCACGGTACATATCTAATGCAATGTAACTGGCTTGACATATTCCTCACTTTAGGCTGGCGTTTTCATCTATATGGGAAATGACACCACAAGCTGAAATTGTCTCCACGAAGTTCAAAAAAAGCATTATCTGTTCTAGAGTGAGTACATGAAGGTTTTGATAGCAAACAGCGTCGTAAACTTGAGGCTATCTGCAATTAAGACTATTTATCCTGTCTTTAAACTTTCAGACTTCCTTCACGTATGCCGAGGCTCAGATGCGAATTGATGATCCAACCCAAACAGATGAAATAACTCTGAGCCTAAGACATCTCAACAAACTGGCAAAGATTCTAAAACAAAAGAGAGTCGAACAGGGGTAAGAAAACTTGTATTTGAGGGAACAGTAGTTCCCGCAAACCTTGATCTGAACTCCAATACAGACCAGAAAAGACGTGAATTCTTCTCTTACCCAGACACTTTGCACAATTACGTTTTATCAGTTCCTTTTTTTATCTTCTTAACTCATTCACTGACTTACTTTTTATTTCAGTGCTTTAACTCTTGCGTCTCCAGAAGTTCGTTTTCACATAGACAGTGAGACACACGACCCAGTAGATCTTCAAACAAAGGAACTCAAGTAAGCTAGCTATTTATCATTGTCAAGCTGTTGCTGTTAATTTTGATTCCTTGAGTGGTCGATTTAAGGATTATCCACTCTAACTTTTGTTAATGTTCTTTCAGGGAGACGAATTCCCTCGTGGAAGAATTTATGTTGTTAGCCAACATTTCAGTCGCCAAGAAAATTTTTCAAAATTTCCCAGAGTTTGCCGTTTTACGGAGACATCCTTCGCCACCTGCTGCAAACTATGATGTGTTGGTGAAGGCTGCGAGCTCCAAGGTGAGCCATTTTACCTGGGGGGAGGGGGATTTCCATATTATTGTTTGGAATTGATGTCATGCACGGGGAATGTTACTTGTTATTCTGAAATCAAAACCAATTTTGATTACCCGCCTCTTACCTTTAATTTTGTTACAACGCCATTGTTGAACGTAATGTTGTATTTATTACGTCAAAACCTGCAATGATAGAAGAAGAAAAACAAAACAAAACATTGCCAGTAATGACGAAATGAAAAAATCATGGGTGAGACGTGGTGGCGCAGGCTTAACTGGATTCCGGGTCAGAATCGGCCGAATAATAGAAGATTCTAACCCATGTTGTAAAGTGATAGGGAAATCGTGACATTAAAACGAACCTCGATTGTTCGCGATCAGTGGAGGGTCACACGGTAATATGAAATTTATTTGTTAATTTTACCCCCCCCCCCCCTTCAATCCCCTCTGCTGTGCAACACTGTTCTCACACGTCACTTGCGTATCTAAATAGGGAGTCCAACTTGAAGTGGATAGTGCCAAGTCTCTCGCTGTTTCGTTGAATGCTGCTAATATCCCAGATGAGCCCTATTTTAACACTCTGCTTCGAATTATGGCGACGCGATGCATGATGCAAGCGGTTTACTTCTGTTCAGGCATGCTCCCTGAAGAGGAATTTCAACATTACGGTTTGGCAACTCCAATTTATACACATTTCACGTCACCAATCAGGAGGTATGTACTGCTCCAATGTACCATTAATTTACTACCAATTTACCATTTGATTACTGTACATTTCATTAACCTAAAATTTTTCCTACCTGTAGATATTCTGACATCTTGGTACATAGACTCCTAGCTGTTGCAATTGGAGCTTTAGATTCGTATCCAGACCTCCTCAGCAAAGACAAAACACAGGTGGGTATGACCTGAGGTATAATCAGTTCGTAGCTTACCACTAGGCTCCATTCTCTCGCTGTCAAAATTAGTGAGTTATCTTATAACGAATATATCTCTGTCGTTACTGTCATTAACGTCTTACTTTTCTCTTTACTTTCAGAAATTGTGCAATCATCTGAACTTCCGTCACAAAATGGCCCAGTATGCTTCACGGGACTCCATTGACCTGCATTGCCAGGTAGTGTGGTTTTTAATATCATTCTTTTGTCATAGTTTTTAAGACTTCACAAAGAGTTTGTAGTGTTTGTTTGTTTGTTGTTTTTTTTGCACTCAGACTGTTTGGCTTATTTCATGGAATGTTCTTTTCTCAGCTGTTTTTCCAAGGAAAGGCTATAGAAGAAGAAGAAGCGTTTGTGCTGTTTGTTCGTAAGAATGCGCTTCAAATTCTGATCCCTAAGTATGGCCTTGAAGGAACCGTGTTCATGAACAAACAAGATGTATCAGGATTTACCTACAACGAACAGGTGTTTTTCTCCCAAACTTTTTTTCAATACATAGTCAGCTTCGATTTGGCAGAGAAGAGGTTCATGAGTGAGCGTTGGTGTTTGAGAAAATCGAAGGAATAATGACGCTTATCATCGGAGGTTTGTAGGGGACATGTGGTGTGAATCTTTTCGGGTTAAATCTTGGTGTCAGAAAACGCAGCGAATGTAAGTGTTCATGACATTCCCTGATGAAATCACATGATCCATTCTCCGACGCTTAGTTTACCTTGGCAACTGTAATACATAATATCAAGAACGATGTCAAGAATTACCATTTATTTTCTTTTTTTGTTAATCAAGGAGCCATCCCTTACAGATGGTGACGTCACCTACCGAAGCTTTGACCGAGTGGCTGTCAAGATTAATGTTGACAAGTCCTCAACAGAAAATAAATTTTTATCTTTCAGCCTCGTCTCTAAAAAGGTAATTCTAAAGACTTTGAAAGAAAAGAGCAAACAAACAAATTTCACATTTTATATGCCGGGACGCGAAAAAAGCTCAGAACATGATATGAGAAGTTTTTATCGACTGAAAACTACTCAAATGTTTTCTCATCTTCTCCCAATCACGATTCATCCATTATAACGACTTAAACACTCTCTTTCCTCGCTCTAGTCTTTGAACGACAAAATAATTTTTCTCCTCCTCATTTCTTAAGTCGTGTATGTGTTTCTTTGACAGGGCAGCAGTGCAGAGGACATGAAAGAACCTGTCTCCAAGAAGACTAAGTTCGACTGACTGATTGCTGTAGAAAGATGGGACAATAGTGAGGATACAGATATAGAAAGTGAAGTGTGAAGGAACTGAGGAGACCACAAGCGACTCCACACAACAACGGCAAGGGCTTGAAAACGCCTCTCTGACAACAAAATATCGGGATTTCTGTAAAGTTGCGCATCTTTTTTACTGATTTTATTAGACTAAAGTAGTGTGGATAAGCGATGTCTTAGTGGATCAGTAAAGCACATTCAAAAAAATGATTGTTAAACAAATTGCAATTGAACGTTTAATATCTCGCTACGCTCAACGTGAAATCCTATAAATTGCAAGCATCATTTATTCATATTTAAATTTATGTACAATTTAAACTGTCAGATAAGTGCTATTCCTCCTTCCCGCGAGACTTGCAGGGACGTTACAAGAACATTTGGATGTTCCGTATTTGGCAAGGGTGTTTGTGATTATTTCCCTCTCTCAAAGTTGTAATCGAGGGTAAAATTATCTTATGGGGCCAATTGTTTTGCCATTCTTACAAATAACATCTGATCTTTCGTTAAATCTAAGTATGGAGTATACAATGAAGTATCTCAGTTCCTTTGGTCAAAGGCTAATTTGGTTCCTTTCAAGAAAATCCAAATTTGTTATTTTAAGTCACAAAGGTATAGATATTAAACAAAATTTGCTTCTTACCCAAAGGAAACAAAAAAGTTTTACTCATGTACTGAAGTTACACAACTATCTTATGTCTTTGTTGCGTCCTCTGGCCTTTCGTGACGTTTTAAAACAAGTTGGATGGTAATTTGGACAGGTTATTTGTCCAAAACTTGTGTTAATTACTGACGAATAATTGTTCCTCTAAACTCGTCACTAATCTTGGCTGTAATGGTGCTACATGAAAATTGCCAAAGATGCTAGGAAGTGAGCTTGGATTTTTCGCACTATCTGTGACATAAGTAAAATTTTCGATTGAGTGTCATAAAACCAAAAGCAAAGTAGGCGCAACAGCCATTCAGGAAAAAGGTAAGTATTACTAGAATCTCAAAGGTTAAGAAAATAATAATAAAAAGTCTGAAGCTCGGGAAAGTCGCGGTTGGTTTAGTTTTTAATTTGATTGGTTGAAAGAGTGGCGCGAGTTTTTTAGGCCAATCATACAACAATCCGGGATTGAACACTTAGTTGAAATTTACTCAAATATGCATGTTAGATTTAAAACAGAGACAATTCTTAAAACTCGCCACCCTATCAAGGTAAATTAAATACGACAAAACACTTTCCATATTTACATTCTTCATGTACCCTCTATCAAAAAAGGTTGTCAAAATATCCTTGACTTCCGACAAGGTTTGATGAATTGAACACGGGACCTTGGTAACCATCGTTTGTCCACCGAAGTCAAATCCACTCTCATGTTTAAGGTCAGTCCAAAGGTTGACATGATACAGCCTCTCGCCGTTTTGTCAAGCAGCAGTCCTCGATAGGTTGAAATAAATATTTTGATCCTCTTTTATGGTCTTACCTACTGCACTAAGCTTGAATTTACATTGAAACAATTCTGACTCAATTACTGTTCTATTCTTCTGAAGACGAAAGCATTATCTTGAAAATTGGATGTTTTTACTCCAACAGAATCTTTGGGTTCTTTAACAGTGTATTAATGAGGAAATATAACCTTTGCCCAAGTGCGTGAGTGGTGAGGCTGTCAGAGAATCTCACTCACAGTACAAAGGAAACACTGTTATTTCTACATACACATAAAGCCGTTTATAGGTTGCCGCAGACCAGGTGGACAGGTACATTTGTAGCTTCCCGGCGTGTTAACACATTTATGCTGACAAAGGAACGAATATCTGGAACATTCGTCGATATCTATAAGCAAAAAGAAAAAATTCTAATTAATTTGAGTCAATATCTTCAAAAGCAGGTCAGCATTCTCGGTGAAAAATTCTTTGTTGTTTGGTTTCCCCTAAACATGCACCCTCTCTAGAACAATTCTCGATTTTCAATATTTTTCGCAAAACATCCACCTACTGAGTCGATATAGAGTAATAAAAAAAAAGCATCTTGTTACCAGCAACACTCGAGTGATCTCTAGTTAGACTTACATCTGCCGGTTTACTTCTGTTTCACTGTATTTAGAACATAAAAAGCTATCATCTGATCTGCTCACCTTTGCATGATTTCCTGTCAGACTGTAACATAAACCCATACTTGCAGGAGCATCGGTAACTTCCTGGGTAGTTCTGACACACCTGGTCACAGCCGCCATTGGAGTTTGCGCATTCGTTCTCGTCTGAAATAAGTTTGTCGGTGACATCAATTTCAAACGAAACCCAACTTTGATCAAACCTCATTTAACGACGGCAATCTACTTACCGATACAAATCTTGTGTCTGTGATTAACAAATCCCTTGGGACAATCACAAGTGTGGCTTCCAATGGTATTGCGGCATCGCGAAGGAAGGGGGCATATCCCAGGGTACAATGCACACTCATTTATATCTAAAACCAGAGAAGTTTTAAGAAAAACAAATTCGTTTATTCATTCAGAATCTGAACAGAAAATTATGAATTAAAGGGTAGACGCCCAAGTTGTTTATCTAAATGTGAACATGTTCTTCAACTTAGAGGAAACGAAAGCAAAAGCACTTTTTAGACACGATGACAGCTTATTATGTGATTCAAAAAGGTCTCTCAAAATAGAAAAGCATTCAAAGGTATTCGAACGACACATACCAACACATGACTTCAGGTCATCACTGAGCTGGAATCCTTTGCTACATGAACAGAAGTAAGATCCAGGAACATTACGACAGTTGTGGTGGCAGCCATGGATACCTCGTGCGCATTCGTCGATATCTAAAAAAACCAACGAATTAATATGGAATACTCAATAAAACGTTCAAGAGTAATGTTTACCCTCATTCTTCTATCACAAATTTCTTGCAGTCTTAGTCTAGGCTGAGAATCCATTGCATCCACGGAGGAATTAAAACCACTAAATTGCAGAAATCTTAACACAGCCGTCAATCGTGACGTTTCTTAAATGTTCCCAGACACTAAATTGTCTAACTTTTTTCACCTGAACAGGAAATTCCATTCACATTCAATTCATATCCCTTGGAACATGTGCAGCGGTACCCTCTGGGCGTGTTGATACAGTTCTGATGACAAACACCTTTGAATAAGCTGCATTCATTTACCTCTGAAGGAGAAAGATACACAACAATCAACAAGGAAATGATCTGCTCAGTGAAAGTGGAAAAAAATTTGCATGACCATTTAAGTGAAAAAAGCTCGATATGGCAGCTAGACTGAAAATGGGTTCTTGATTTAGACACGGCGAGTTTTCACAAATCCGTGAAGACTATGTCTTTTTTCAGTGGTCCAGGTTTCAGATATTGGTTAAGTAAACGATTCAAGGTGATTCACACATTGTTTTGGAAGCTCTCGGCGATGTGAAGTAAGAGATAAGACGTGTTTGTTATCATAAAACGTTCTCTGCATCTGAGAACAAGAGATAGCGTATCAAGAAAGATGGTTCTCTTATAGATAAAGAGTTCTTCATACTTTACTAATAAATCAATTGCAAATTGGCCCATATGACGCTAAAGCTCATGAGTACGACGCAAAGTATTTGAATGATGTTCACTCTATATCTTGTCTGGTAATTGGTAGAAACATCAACAAATGTCTACAAATGCGCCAAATCACCGGAAATTATTTTAGTGAGTTACATTGTGAGTGTGTTGACTTGTTCGGTCAACAAAGTAAGACTATGAACTATCAGTGAAAATAGCTACATACAATTGATAATCATAGATTGTACGTTTTACATGCAACAAAAGTCACGAGCTTGTCGCTTATAACTTAGCATGAGTATCTGAGAGATGTTTGGCTGCTAAATCTTGCAAACCATTGTGCACTCAGCGTCCCTGACTTACCGACACATGTTTGGCCATCTGGACCCATGGCGGTACCTGGTGGACAGGAGCAGTTTCCAAACTCGGTACATCTCTGAATACAAGCGATATCATTCATTGAACACTTAGTCTTCTCTTCTGCAAATTAACACACGCAACAGTTACGTTCATGTCCAGTTTCATTCGTTCTTTGCCTGCCAAGTAACATTCTGTGTTCTCGGCTCGGTTGAGTATCTGACTATGACGTAACCCATTCATCCGCTAAGCGAGAATGCACCTCTAATCAAAAGTCATCTCTCGTCCTAAATGTAAAGAATGGAAAACTTGAACACTTAGACTATATCGATTTTAATTATATGTTTCTTCTGGCAAAAATTTTATTAAAAGTGATGAGAGAACAAGTTAGCAGACATGGACAACTCAGTAGATCATTAACATCTACGGCCATAAAACGCCGACTGTGCTACCTTATAAACATGAATTTTGTCTCTGCATTGTTTTCCAATAGTAAAGATAAACAGGATGAGGGAACTCCTTGATTTACCTTCACAGGTAACCTTATCTGACTGAATCTTGAAACCCGCCTGGCACGAACAGGAAAATGAGCCTGGGGTATTTTTGCACAGCTGTGAACATGGCGAATGCCGGCATTCGTCAATATCTGAAACCCAACAAGAATGATGGAGCACTGTTAACAGACTAATGTGGTCACATACATTGGAATCATTCTCTGATTGAAAGGCTTTAACCCTTTAACTCCCAAGATCTGATTGTTAATTCTCCCATTTAGCTGTAACACATTTCTTTGTAATTTAGTAACAAGAATTTAGTGTTATATCGTGATAACAACCTCTAACTGATAAGTGTGAGTTATCTCACTACCTGTTTGTTGGATAGTGTATGGATATTGTAGGGAGAAGTTACATGTAAATCACTTCTAGTGGAAGGTTGCTAACTTTCGGCAAGTAACGTTGACTACTGTACAATTCCACTTACCATCACAGGTAAAACCATTCATATGCAGCTGGTAACCATTATGACATGCGCACTGAGGGACACCGCCAAATTCAACACACCTATGATCACACTTAAGCCCATTCCCACATCCGGTTTCAACTTCCAGCTCGGGAGAGGGTGCTTTAGTCCCGCTTGAAGAACGAGAAGCTCCGTCTGAAATGAAAATAAATATTTAGTACTCGATTGTTTGTTAGGGTGTGAAGTGATCGTGGTGTGAGATTTATGACTGCTATCCCATAAAGAACCTTGATAACAAAGCTGGGTTGTTGGGAAAGTTGGGGAAAAACAAAATCACAAGAGGTAAAGAAAACTCTATAGTTAAGTGTGATGATAATTCCCGCTGATGCGACAAAGCAATGACTGGCTTGATTTTACTTACCTGAACAAGACACGCCGTCATTTTGCAAGGTATAGCCATACTGGCACTCACATTTCGCTCTACCCTTGCTTGACTCGCGGCAGACATGTTCACACTCTAGAAAGTTACTGGCACAAGAATTCTTCACAACTATTAAGGGCGGAAAAACAAAGGAAATGAAATCAGTATAACATTGTCTTGAATAATATGACACTAAACAGCTTGTTTGTTTTGAAATGAAAGTTTGTCTTCGCAAAGGCTTCAAACGACTACATTTCTTAGTTTCTGACCCTGCCGTAATCTCTACTCTGAACATGACTAATGGAATGTCCAAGTAAATACATTAAAAGTAAAATAGCTTCCCAAATCAGTACAACTTCTCAGTCCTCGTTACCCAAGGGCGTTTGGTCAGCTTTGGTCACTTTTTCATTGATCTAGAAAATCACACAGCTAAACTACGCGTACAAAGTATGCCTTTTAAGTATTTCAGTAGCCTGTAAACGAGCAAAAGTCTCACGCTCAGATGCTCTCGCCAACCAAAGAGAAACAGAGAGACACAAGTAATAACCAAGGGAAAAAAAGGAAGCTATCTGTAACTGGCCCCGGCCGGTTGTTGGAAGGTTAAATAACGCTATCCGCCGAGTAACTCCTTATACGGTCAATAGCACGGTACAATTTGTTAACTCTTATCCGCTGGATAGCGATTTAGCTCTTTGGACAACTGCACCCCGGTTGTTGATAATCGTATCATGTCCAAAATCATTCCCGGCGAGTTGATGTATATTAAAGAAGATCAGTGCCGTAGCACTACGCTAAAAGAAAAGAAGAAAACAATGCGTCGTTCACTTTGAGCTTAAGCCTTCAGTCAGGACTGCTGATGGGGAGTTTTAGGACACTTAACGCTTACTGAAACCCTAGGATAAAGAAACTGATGCGGGGTTGTTTTATACCTCAGACGACTTCAATTCTTCTCACTTCACCAGGTGAAGCTCTGAGTTCATTTTACAAACACATCTTTTAATCTCTTGTAATGCTGACGCGGCCCTAACCCATTATAAATAGATAAAGGAGGTAAGTTTCTAAAGAAACCGTTGTGCTGCGTCGTTAAGAGATTATCACAGGGTGATTTAATGTTATCAACTGAGTTGGAAACGTAAATTGGTCACCGTAAAGAGTTTAAAGGCTGACGTTTCGAGCGTTCGCCCTTCGTCCTTCGCTCTGACTAAGGGCTAACGCTCGAAACGCTATCATAAATGGCCTGGGGGTTCGTTTGATTATCAACAAGGAGAGAGGCTGAAATTGAATAATGATCAATTATACTTTATGGGATTCTTGCGAGGGAAAAAGAGAATTTACGGAAATCTCTTTGCTAGAAATCCTATCACCGGATAAGTAGGTGAGTTTATTCCATGACCTTATCCTCTTCACTGACCTGGAGCTGAGCGGCAACGATTTTTACTAAAAAACCATTAACATGCCAACCACAAAAGTAAAAGCATATTAAGTCTGCTTACAAATATTTAAGGTTCCTTCTTACTGTAAAGTTCGCTGATACTTCTGATTTCTTTTGCATGTCCTCTGTATGTCTAGACTCGTGAAAGGTAATATAAATCTAATAATCAATGATCATCTCACCTGACCAGCTCGACACTATTTCCGTTGGTACTTGACCGATAAGTAATAATATACAGAACAGTCACGGCTTTCTGCATTGTTAGAGGTATATCGAACTATTTTATGTTTTCAGAATGCAGTTTGTGTCAAGTTGCTGATTACTTCACGATAATTTCTAAAGGTGCAAAAAATATCAAGAGGTGCATCAGAAAGTTCGCTTTTGCGAATAGGGGATTGGTTTCTCGGCTTTCGCCAACCTAAGAAAATCTGCGGTTTTTCGGTTACCACAGAAAATGAGAGTATATGATGAATTGAGATATTGCTCAATTTCAAATTACTCGCAGAGTTTGTCACAAGTTTTGGCCTGTAAGTTCATTATTGAGTCCATCGTGCTTTCTTTAACTTGACTTTTTCCGTCTAATGAAGATGCTCAATTCGTAAATTCGTGTGCGTGCAAACCATATTGAAGGGTTTGTTTTCATGAAATCGGCCTCCACTATGATACTGTTTGCCCCTTTTTGCTAAAAGGCTTTTTTATAAAAACTAACGGTTCTTATTTAATATGTACGTGCCGACATAAAAACCCATCGGAAATGTGCAGACTCCTGGGAGGAAATCTCGAGTTTATTTTGCTTTTGTGAAGGTTAGGGTGACCTTCTAAAGAAAAAGATCCCATGCCCTCGGCTATAGTTTACGAATTGAAGAAAAAAAAAGTGAGGTCGGCTACAATGTGTTTGATTCTTCCTCTACTAGAGTGAAAAGAATTGGAGTTTATTAAACACATCAGAGGGAGACATGAGGTCAAGCCTGTAAACCAGATATACTGATTCAATTAGGATCATAATTGGATCTTTTTTCGGATATATGCGCTAAAAAAATCACCGCAATATCACACTTATGCCCGCATTTACCATCTACAGATACAGGTTAAGATCTTTAAGAACGAATTCAATATGGCTATTGAGAGGCATAATAAAAAAGCATCCTAATGTGACCTTGCACCTAGGCGTCTTAAAGATCGCAGATAAATTGAACTGATCGTGATTAAAACCACCAATTCGACGGCTTGCGTGAGACATGACTCTCAAAGTAGTTGGTTGAAAACCGCAGATTGGTGTCTCCGGAATGAGTTCTAAGTTTCTTTTTTCCGAGTCAGCCGCTTTTGTCCAAGAAAACATTGGGAAACTTCAAACAGAAAATCTTCAAAGATATCGAGGAGTTTTTCATTTCTTCGATCTCGTCGTGCAAAAAGAAAAAGACTTTGTATATCTCTAAACATTTCCTCTAAATTGACCAGCAGCTGAGCCAGAGAAAATAAAACCAGAGTCGTGAAGCAGAAGGGCGAAAATAAAAACAGATAGGGAGCTTGATGTAGATGTTACATAAATTTTTAATTCATATGTATATCATGACATCAACAAAACGATTGTGAATTACACACAGCTCTTCACGTTGTAACTGCATCTGTTTCCCGCTATGCCAACGTCAAGTCGAAGGATCTTTTTCTTTCGTCCCAAATTCATCGATCCTTTGTTTTTTGGTAATCCTTAGTTCATGCGAATATAATTACGATAAATGAAATAAGGTTTTTTCTGTCTTCGCCCAACGAAGGCTGAGTATCACGTGAAAAAAAACACAAACATTACTGTGACTGAGTAGAGGAAATTTAACCCAGCTGTATATCAAAGATGAGGAAGTATGAAATGGTCATCTCGGCGTGGGACAACAAACCAGTTCCACGAAAAAATACGGAAATTGTTGGGCACTTCTGCTTGTTCATAACTATCTCCGTTTTTTAACCGTAGAAAAAATGCAATCGGCCATAGGTAGTAAACCATATTCACGTGTATAGCAATAACATCAGTTAAAATTTCGAATAAAGAATTTTCTTATTGACAACTTCTTTTCATCAGTTCGCTGTTTGTTATGGGCCTGAAAAAAGTTTCTCGTGGGAAAAACATAAAGTGAAGATGCTTAACCCTTAAAAGCAACTCTTTTTTTTTTTTTTTTTGAATAAACTAAGTATTGATATCTCTCGAAATCTGGTGCTCAATGAAACTCCACTCAGCGACCGACCAGGGTGCACAGCAATCATTACAAGGCGAAAAACTTTATTGGAGCACTAGCTTGTACTGTGGAAATATCAGAATGTTTCACAAGACTAAACAAACAATTGCCAAGGATAATCACGAATAAGCTCCGTCAAAATGAACAGCACAGTAAGCTCAGAAGCCTCGTGCATGGGTGGAAAAAAACTTAGGTGTCAACGATTGACATGCGGGTGGGCTGAATCAATCGATGGTTGGCAAACAGGAAATATAATCATAGCCAAACTATTAAGTACTTTCCTCTTCGTTATTCTTGAACAAATACATATTTTCGATAACGAAACATGTGTCAACATAATCGACAGCAAAAACGTGCAGGGGTAAATAAACTGAATGCCACCGAATGAGTAATCGGTATTTGAAATGATGTTTACATTTAGGATTTTCCACAAATCCTGTTTGTTCATCGCCTCCGATTGTTTTTATCTTCAAGCCATTCCAACTGCTTTCAAACTGAACTGAATGAAAAAACATAGTTTTGATAAGAAAAACAAGAGTCCGGAAGAATGAAAGGGTTTTAAAAACAAATCTTAAACCATCCTTGCATCCACTGTGATTTAAGAATAACGTTTGCTCTCAAATACGCAACCTTTTACCTCTGAAAATGCCAGTGCGATTTCCTAATGTAGAATGTGTTTTTCTCATCAAACGATAAAAAAGCTCGAATTTTAGTCAAAAGAAATTTTAGCAGGAAATTTTTTACGTCTTCTTCGTATTCAGAGCCGAACAGTCTGGAAGGAATGTGGCTCTGTGAGGCAAATCAAACATCATTAGAAGTTTGGAAAAGTAGCCAAACGCCAAGCTGAAGCAAATCTCAACTCTTTAGCATTTTTTCCTTATTTGATCGGCATTTTTGTAGTTTTTCAAGCTTCTTTGGCAAGCTTCTTTCCTTACGGTTCTCACAGCTCTTCAGCTGTTACTTATTCAGTTCGGGCTTACCGCTAACGTGCCAAACTCTTTCCCTACAATTATCTTATCGCGTAACTTAATCAATACCCGTACTTCAAGTTGCTTGTTGACCTCATGTGAAATTGCGGCCGCCAAAAAATGTCGCCTTGTTACTGGTTAATGAAAAAAGGGAAAAAAACATATTTCAATATCTCGCATATGAAACACTTATCTCCATCAATAATAAGGGGAACATCGAGAAGAAACTCTGAGTACAACAAGCGACATATTTCTTTTAACAGGTTTAAACAACTGCCAGGCTTACAAGTAATAAAGAACACCGAATTTTTTGCAGATTTCTCCTTCATAACTTTTTTATAACTTGAAAGACGATGCTACTACCGCGAATTCAAAACTACCCCGAGACCACAGGGTAAGCAAAAAACCTGAAAGATCAGGTTTTCTGGGATAGGAAGGCTGACACAGCCCTTTTTAAAGCTGTAACCAATTCCTCTCACTAATGACGGGTATTTTGGTTCAGAAATTTGAGATTTATCTTGGGCCATTAGCCGCTACTTGCTTATTTGCGAATACCACAAGGTTGTTTGAAAAATGATGGTAGAATCATTCTATTCATGCCTCTATAGAAAAGCACTTCTTTCGTGGCCTATCTCTCTCAGAATAGCACACGGTTAGGATATAAAGTACAAAGTAAGGGTCTTGCGTGAGCGACATCTGTAGATCAATTTTCTCCCCGGACGCACGCGGTAGAAATAGCAGAAAATTACTTACACGCGGGTCATTGAGAATGCTACTCTAAAGGCCGACTTCCCTAATAAACCATGCAAAAATAGAACCACTCACGTATTTCTCAAGGACCCTTCTACTTTTGGTTCCTTGTACGGTTTAATCAGTGTAAATATGTCCCGAACCGGAACCCACTACTGAGCTTCCGGTTTAAATGCTTGCATTCCTCTGTTAAGCTTAAAATTTCTTTGTACATGAGACATGTTACTACTGCTTAGGATAAACGCTGGGATAAAATAGAACAAATCAAAACACTCGCCTCGTATAAATCTGCCCCTCGTGTCTTCCCATACTTGTGGGTGGCTGAGTTTCTTTGCGCATTCATGGTAGGTCTCCAACCAAAGCCTGGCTTGATTTCTCAAACCACGGGGAATTGACGGTACAGCCATTTCCAGGATAATCCTGGCGGCCAAAACGGAGTAAAGGGGTCTCCGTAAATCTCTGTATTTGATTTTGGACCAAGTCACACCAAATGTACGGCGTATGTTCTTGTGAAGCGCAGCCAGCTGCTTGTTTTCCTTCCGCTTGTTTTGCGTCGATTTAAAAGCGCACTCTTCTATGCTCCACGGCCCGCCTTCCTTCGATGTTTTGTTTAGGAAAGACTCAACCAATGCCACCCGCTTGATAAAATGGTGGTCGTCCATAAAAATCCGTTTGCGAGACTTGGTCATAGCATTCTTGGTCAACTCGGACGCATCTGTGATTACATCGATTCCTTGTTCGTCAACAACAAGCAATGATTTGTGGATCACAGGTCGAATTCGTTTGGATCGAGCTTCACACGATTTAAATACGCACATCACACACACCGCGCACATCAGCGCAAACTTAACTTGTAAATTCATGGTGTACCACTCTTGAAATGCTTCTTCTTTTATTTCTGGAAAATACCAGTCTGACCACGTTCTTGTTTCTCGTTCAGTTCTTATAGAGCTTTTCAGACCACAGCGGATCCTCAGATCAACGTGTAGTCAAGAGAGTTTAACGCGGCTTAAACCTGCGATGAAAAAAAGTCACAGAGTGAGACGGAATGGATTTCACTAGGCAATAATATACGCTAACCTAATGGGGCTCAAATTTCCGTAACCCTGCTGTGATCCAAATTATCAATTGACGAGAAAAAGAGAATATTTCTTTCAGGTTATCCATTGCATGTCCCAACAAGCGTTACTGTGACAGCCACCCACACGTAGCACGAGCAAATCAGTCAATTGGGAGATTGAAGGAGACCTCAAATGGGGTTTAAAGGCAAAAAAGCCTTCACCATGAATAACAGGTTTAGATTACATGTTTACCAAACTACAGCTCTTCGCTAGTGAAAACAAAAGTCATGAGTTTAACCCAAGAGAGAAAGTAAGTAAAACATAGAATACCGAGGTGGCGATACGAGGTGGCGATACGATGTGGCGCCCAAACAGAGCAAGTCACGAACAGCGCGTGCACCAATACAATACTACCAGGAACAATAAAACATTTACAGTCACTATTAAGGCTTTTATTTGTAAACGATCAGTATCAAAAATAGACTTGCCTTGGCAGTGTCTGTGGTCTGTCAGTAGATGAAGTTATCAGATGGAAATTGAAGATTCAAGAGCGAAGGTTATCACAGACTGCTATCGGCAGTTTAACACGCAAGACCTGGAGACAAGTGGCCAACGGAACATACGATATGCGCTCTTCAGATGTCGCGAGCGGCTAATTCAACTGATTTCGAATTAATTTTCCTCAGAATCTTAATAAATCTTCAGTTAAGACCACTTAGAAGCGGAAAGCCAACTATTGACTAATTTAGAGGATACACCGTCTGTCAATACTGACAGTATCTTTCACAGGAAGTCGGTAAGCCTTTGATTCCTCAGAGAACTTTACAAACAGGATTGACAACTGTGGCACGACCTCAGGCGATCAATAACCTTATTACATGTGTTTTATATGACTAATTATTTTCTTATTCTGCACGCAAACGGCGCTAAAATGTTGAAGGCGCCATTAGGGCTCCTTCCGAAATAGAGTTTAAATACAGGCTATTCAAGAGGTTAGTGATTTATGACCCTGATGAAAAATAAAGCAATTATTTAATCTGCATTTCACGGTATGTGTGCTCGTTTAGCTCGCTATGGTATTTCAGCCAATCGCCGACACATTCAGCACGTTATACATTTGTCTGTTCTTCTGTTGATAAGCATAGTTATGTTTTGCAGAAGACATGCAGTGGTCTTCAGCTAAGTTACTTCTCAAGCTACGATAAGCTGTAGGAGTTAAATTACTGTTACCGACAGGAAAACATGTTTAGCCGAAAGAAAAACAATTTTGAGGCGTGAGAATGTTTCTTTAGTCCGTGAAGGAATGAATAATTTGTCTAATCATCAACTTATCCAGATTTACTCTCATGAGTTAACTGTTCCCTAACGTAATGGGGAACGTAATTTGGGTGGGACATCCAGGAAACACTGAATGTTTTACTACGTGGTGTCAGCAGGACCTTTGAAATGTCCATCCTCAGCGGGGGTGAGGTCTGTTATATCCCTCCCAAATAGGTAAACAATAACAGAAGGCTTGATTTTATTGTTGGTGAGGGCAAATTGCGCTGGTTTGAAATCACGTGTAAGAGTTTGGAAAACGTTCGCTAAAATATGACTGCTAACTTTTTATTGATCCTGTTTTTATGAACAATTATTTTGTCCTGAAAAGTAGGACACCTACCACACTGTTTTTTTTTCCCTTTTTTTTTTCGGGAATTGCTTATCATTTTTTTCGAGCACTGAGAACTGGATTACGGTATGTAGATCGTAAAGTAAAGACAAACCCCACATGTTCGTGTTTGTTGGTCGCTTGTTATTCGGCTCCCATACTGAAAGAAAAGAAAAAATGTCCTAAAAGAGCTCTACAGCTTTTGCTGTTATAACATATGAGAACCCTGGGTGGTCAGGGAAAAGTCTATATTTGTCCGTGGCCGGGATTATGATTCATGATTCATTCCCCGCTGTTCGTGTGTTAAGCGATAAAAAATGTACTCCTAATCCACTATTTTGCAGCAACAATTTCACGGAATTTTCTACAGAAAGCCTCTCTATGTAGATTTTTTAAGAGATGAAACTTTAGACTCAGTTGGTGAGACTTGATAACGTAGGTTCATCATCTTACCTGTGTTTCATCAGGCTGGTCTTGTTGTTGTTGTTATTGTTATTTTTAGACTTAATTTCAAGTTAAGCTGGACTTTCTCTTATAATTCCGACTTAATCTATTGCAAAAATTTGTAGCATGTTAATTTCGTCACCTTAGCAAAAGAACTTCACAGCAATCCTCTCACAATTTAACACGGGGCGGTTGGAGAATTGAGCAATGAGTTCACCGCCAAAACTTAGATATTCACCTTAAAAAGAGCTTGAGGCGTAACGTACAGTCCATAAGTTACTACACTTTACAAGAAATTAACCCCAATTAAACTTTCATACTGCCAGGTTGAACACTGAGTTTTTCATGAGTGTGATTAAGAAAAACTTCCTCTGTCAAAGAAACGGAGCGATTCAGATCTGTCATTTACATCTTTGAATTTGTCGCCTGAAAAAGTTACAGTATGCTTTTGATGGTTCTTGTTAATCGCTGATGGTGGAAATGTGACATACTAACATTAATATTTCGTGAATCTTTGTTTCACTGCACGTCTCTTACTAGACTAAATACGCAAAGAATCCGCTAAAATAATAGTTCTTAAAACAGAGATTTCCTTCTTTTTAGGATAATGGTTGGAACTGTTCATTTTAATTTTAACTCCTAAGCTGTTTTCCGAATAATTGTGATATTCTATATGCGGGATAGCGTCTTGTTTTCATGCGGTTTTTCAGCTATGCTCGGGCTTAAAACGGGTGAAAACAGAATCATATTGTAACCGTGTCGTGCGTCATACAACAACAACAACAACAAAAAAGTGTATTTCAGTTTCAGCGTTTTGTCGTTTAGTTTGTTATTCGAGAGATTAGTCCAGTGTTCAGTCATATAAAACCGTACGCTACTTAATCCTTAATTCAAAGCAGTTTATGGATGGAATACAATATTTTTAAAAGCACCATTGCCTACTTTTATTCAGACAACTTGAGGAAAGGCATTTTTGGCAGAGTCACCCTGAAGCTTGCCGAAGTGAAGAAGTTGTTTCACGTAACAGAGTGCAACTCAATTGAGAAAGTGGTCAATGTGCTTCAATGGGATTCATGTATTTATCTACAACCTGACCTCTCAAGTAATGAAAGACGACTACAAATAGAATTTATTTTCTGCCTGCTTGAGCCTAACTGCAATGCAGCTATTTTATTGTATTTTAAGCATGTTGAGATTTGTGAGTCACTCTTGCTTATCAGAGGATAATGAGATGAGTCTGGTGACCATCGTTCACTGAGTCCTGCCACCAACATAATCAACATACAGATAATTCAGTTACGGTGACGTCCATAAAAATACAAACATGTTTCGATCGATATTCTGCCTTCTAATCTTTTCCTGATGTTCTACTTGATCCATATTCTTTAATCCCTTATTCTCATTCTCACACTCAAAAAACAAGAAAGCTGATACAATGCACATTTCGCATCAAAAGCCGCTCTTTTGCACTATGAACGAACACTGTCCGTGTTTACAATAATCTAAACCCTAAGATCTTACGTCATCGAACAATACTCTCATCTCCGATCAAACGTGAGAAACTTTGTTTATTTTGGTGGTTTTGAACGTGATGCTATTTCATGAGTGGAATTTAAGTAAAGACGCTTAGGAATGGCTAACAAATTTGAGAGCACAATGAATAGATTCAAAAGGATTTCTTGAAAAACATGAACAACTTAGAAAGCCCTCTGACTGGAATGGTTCAGAGGTTAAGGCTCAGAAAAATTATTAATGAAAAACAGAAGCCCAGTCCGAAACCCCTTCAAAAATTTTCAGGACCTCGTCATAAGAAAGACGACTTTGCTATTCTTCAGCAAACTAAAGCAATTTAAGTAAGGTACTCACGCTATCTGCAGGTGAACATTCTACCTTGTACTACAAGCTGTGCTCCGTTACTGTCAGTATAATGGCGGTGCTAGGTCTTATGTACAACTCATTCATCGCGTGCTCGATTTCGTATTTCCTGTCAGCCACAAATTAAAATCCCATGAAGGACGTGTTGTGGTTTGAAATGTCATTTAGCTGTTAGATAAAATGTCACTTGGATTCTATCCTTGACAGAAACTTTCAAGACTGTAAGACTTATTATTTTGATAAACGAGTCGGATTAAACCTCAAACATCAACGAAAGTTCACTGGTTAAAACCATTTGCACAAAAATGGATATTTTCGGTAAAAATTGTTCTTAACAAGCATTCGGTAGCAATGTTTTGAGTAACTGAGGAAGTTCCTTATTTTAATTTTGTGGGGGCCATGAGCTTTTGAGCTGTATGCAACATATGATTCGGATCACAAAACTTATCGTCAGTCCTGATATAGCCAAAGAAGCCTTAAATGGCTTATATTAGGGAGATCCCTGATGGTGACAGTGGCTTTAACTTCCCTAAGTAAGGACACATGCAGCATATAGTATTATGAGACACGAAGCAAAGTTTTCTTTTCTATTCGTTTTTGTGTCCTGTTTGTTTGATCATATCATTTTGTCTACCTGACCGTCGCTTTGTTTGTTTGTAATTATACTTCCCCATCAGCCTGACGAACAGCGCGCCGGAAAAGCGGTGTTTTTTACTGAGGGGGCCATTGGGGACTATTAGAAACCGCAAAACCGTAGAAAAAATCGTCCAAAAAAAAGTCGTCGCAAAAACCGAAAACCAAATGCTAAATAACGGAAAATCGAAGTCGAAACCGAAAAACCGAAGTTTTGTGGCGCAAAAACTGATCTAAAAAATAGCCAAAACCGCAAAATCGAAAATCCCAATGCCCCCCTCTTTACTCGTTCTTTACCTGCTTTGACCTTCCAGCTCCACAGAACTCGTGTCAGTGATAAAATAAGTTATTAACACTTACATTTTAGTCAACAATTACCAAATTCCAATGGCCAAGTACATAAATTTTAGTCAAATGATCGGCGATTCGTAGTGAGAGGATTATTCAACAAAATTCACCGGGCCTAAGGCGAATTAAAGATGAATAACAGTCTCAGCAAAGTTGCTCAGGTGATTACCAGGGCAAATAAATCACTCAACCATCCCCTCGTTGACTTCATTCAACACCCCTCTGAGTTTTCTGTACGTTACAGATCTGATAACTTTGTTAAAACACAAGAACAAGTATAATGAAGCCTTTTGTTGGTTAATTAAAGTCGCTAATGCTTCTTTCGAGGAATCCTGTTGATTCAGGCACTTAGTGATTTCTTTTGCTGCTCCTTCTGCCGGTTCATATCCCGCCCTAGAGCCCTGAAACCTTATCCAAGCCCACGTACCCCACCCCTCCCCTCCTTCGTGTTGAATGAAAAACATTCTTTTCCGCTTAAAAGTGAATTCTGATCACATCAAAATGTTGTAAACACAGCGAGGATGCTTTGTGGACAATTTTACCTGATAATCTTCACAAATCCTTTTGTAAAAAAAAAAAATAGAATTGATCATAGGAGTCATTAAGTAAATTAAACTTGAAGGGGGAAACACTTATGAAACTTTTATAGCACTGTCGAAGGGCGATATCTCTGACCATGGCTGGTCCATGCATAAAATATTCCGTACTTGGATAATAATAATAATAGTAATAATAATAACAATTATGATGATGGTGATGATGACAAGGAAAAAAATTTTATCACGAACGAAAGAAACGAAACATTTTGCTCCATTTACTTGAGGTTGAAAAATAACAAGACATTTTTCTGAAGTCTTTAATTTAATCTTTAGGATTAAATTATTCTCACGGATACTAAGTTGAAAATCTTCTTGGCATCAGGTAAGGCAAGTTTAAACCGTTGATAAATATATAACAAAGAAAAAGAAGTCGTAACCGGTGTTTTACCAAAGAACCCCCCCCCCTTCCCCTAATTTTGACTGATTTCTGAGAAATAACACAGCTAGTAAAGTTTTTAGGGTAGGAATTTACTTTCGTGCTTGATGTTCTTCTATGCCTCACGTTGACACGCAATTGTGTCTGTCGATTATTCCACCAGGTCTGCTTGTAGACGACCTGTTTGAACTTTTCCGAAACATTTCATCCTTTAATATGCAGGAACGTAGCTCGCTCAAGAGTTTACAACGAGTAGTGAAAGAAATAATGCATGTGATATATAAGAGATTTGCTTCATACAAAATAGAAGGGATAAGCGAAATTTAGTGCAGAGATCGTTTTTTGATAAGACATGACCATCATTTTGCGCCTCTACCAATTGAAGGTCGGCCATGAAGGAAGTGGTATTAAGTGATTTCAGGAGTTTGTTTGATCTCTGGGAGGGTGCACTTGTAAATGTACGTTTGAGTGCACAACCTCAGCTAATCCGATCTATAACCAGGACAAAAATGCAGAAATTCTATAGATGGATTCCCCAAAACTTCGTGACCAAAATGAGCGAGAGCTGATCGGAAGCTTTGGCATGGCAACCGCGCGATCTAATCAAGCTGTTTCAATTCTTCCGGATAACGTGAGAGATTTCTCATCTGTTTACATATTAAACGGCTTTGTGCGCTAACATTCAACAATTTTCATTGACAGATAACGATTTTTATGGGAACTCTTTAAATGTAACAACTCATCCTTCTGACGGGACTTATCCACTTATGGGTGATATATCCTTCTGCCACCATTACTTCTCGCGTAATTTAGTTAGCAGCACTTTTCAGCATCTGGTGGCAAAAGTTTTCTTTCATGAAGTTAATGTGGCTCACCACATCATCACAAATCGAAAGAATTACCACAAAAACGTCAGCGAGTCAAACAATCAACCGCAAATAACTTCACTTTGATAAGCCATTTGTCACTTTATTTATCTTTAAGGCCGCAATTTTACTTTATGTTATTAGGTCAAAATACTAAAATAATTGTTTGGGTGTTTAAAGCCATTCAGTGTTAGACCGTAAAACACCATGACGGAGATCACAAATATAGATCTTCATTTGAAGGCGTAGACTACATTGGGTGAAGCTGTTACAAATAACAAATCTGTACAAAGCCTTTAATTATCACTTTTCATTCATTTCATTTTTACAGTATCTTCTTTCAAACAAGCAACAACAAAGAAAACTTGAAAATTTCGTTAAACAAAAAAAAATTGACAAGAAAATGACATTTCAAAAATCGCCAAAGAATTACATGTTAATCTGCTCCACTCAAGTTGCCTATTTGACCAATTTCTTCTTTCAAACAATCAAGAAAATCTGTGGTAAGATGTCCACCTCCAATATCAGCAGTTTTCTACAGTTCAAGAAAAGAAAAAGGAACTGTTTATCTGAACTTTACTCTATTTTATTCTGAGCAAGTTTAATTTCTAACAGTAAGAGCTACAAAAAATTTAGGTGTGGATGGAAGTATCTTCATTTTCTACAAAGCAATTTGACTCAAAAGTGAAATCTATTATAAATATAGTGCACTCTTGGTGAATTTCGGTGAGGAAGGAGTAATCCATGTTGGCTTCAGTCTACTGTTCAATTCAGACTACAACAACATGAACTTGAAATGAAGAAAAAATTATTTTTCTCACCACTCCTTTCTGTACTACTCTTAAAATAGCACTGTGAATCATGTCACCATAAGCATTCCACCTGAAAATAAGATAGCAATGATGAGTAAATCATCTTATATAATAAATATCCTGTGCAACATAGCTGTCTACACTCCCTCCCCCTTAGGAGGTGGCAAGGATTCCTTTTGACCCCTCCCTCCCCTTCCTTAATTAAGAGGTGGTAGGGATTCCTTTAAACCCCTCCCTTCCCTCCCTTATGAGGTGACAATGATTCCTTTTAACCCCTTTCTTCTCAATGGCATGCTAGTGATAATAATTGCGTTCGACGAAGGAAGAACGCTTCCTAATCTCCTGGGCTACCTGTGATCGCGTAGGTGTCCTGTGCACGCAAGCGAAAGCTGACCCGTGTTTTTTCGTTCGATCGGCCGGCCGTTCATCTTTTCAGCGCCATTTTGAATGACGTCACAATTTCGTTGCGCAAAGGATGCTGCCTCGTGCATCGCAGTTTGTCGGACGTTCGAGGACGTGGTTGTTCGTTGGTGAAGGTTCAATAAAATTAATGCTTACATTTAAACACGTTTTCAACTATTCTCTTACTACTTACTAACACTTAACTACCACACCAACTACAGTAAAACTTGCATACGTACACGCCCGATGGACTGCGACGACTGCCTCCTCAAAAACCATACGATATAACTAGCCTTTAAAACCTTTTCGTACACAGAGTAAATACAGGTTTCACAATACGCCATAACCCTTTATTTGACAACATACCATAGGCATATTCATCTATCCCAATAACCAAAAAACAACATTTCCCCTTTGAAATGCCGAACGCACTTCCCTAATCTCCGATTACTACTAGTAATAGTTTATTAATTCATAGTGAGCTTTTTAACATGCCAGGTGTATTGCATGTCACACCTCAGCATTTCACCAGCTCTCTCTGCCAGTTTGATGGGACTAATTCGTACTTCTGAGTGAAGAGAGGCATTGTAATAGCAGAGTCTTTCTCAGGAACACAACAAGAGGACACAGGCAGAGTTGGAGCCAGACCTCTTAAGCCAAAGTCAACGTAACTTTACAGAGAACTTTTAATTAGAGGTTCTGTAGAGAAAAGCCTGTGGTTTCTAGCTCTATATTAGACTTACCCCAAATGCTCCAACATAAGTGTACTTGCAAATAGCAGGCTCATAGGATTTGAAACGTTCTTTCCTTTAATATCCAGACCTGTATGCCGTGATCCCTGCAATACAACATACACCAATCTTCATTTAGAGAAGAAACAAAGAAACATTCTTATGAGCAATGTAATAATAAAAGCACAATTTGGTGATTTCTTCACATCAACATCATCAAGGCATGGAATTCATCCAAACTTGCTTCTCTGGTCTCATTTTTCAAGAAAGTTAATTACCAGGTAGTCACATTTTAAATCCAAAACAACTCTTTTTTCCCATCAAATAAAGTGGATGTACTGAAA